TTGTTCAATAAAATTAATTTAATATTTTAAATAATTATACATAACAATATCTGATAAAAAACATAATTGAGTGTATTGGAATATTGGGGTAATGTAAAATTTCAAATTGATTTAATTTATTATAAATTTTTATTGACATGTATACAACTTTTGGCTGGGGGTCATTCTGTTAATTTGACCGGCACCGATAATGTTACCATGACGTCATTGGTGCGATTATTATTATTATTATTTTTTTATCGACACATCGAGAAGCTTGAAACTGTACGTTTCATATTTCAGTACACACCATCCTTTATTTAGTTAGATAAACCACGTCTTAAGAAGCAAAGGCCGCAAACCTCGAATTGAAGTTCAAAATGGGTAACAAGAGTCATCAAATAATTTATGTAATTTTCTCACCTATTTGATGACTGCTGTTGTCTATTTTGAACTTCAATTCGAGGTTCGCTGCTGCGTTTCTTAGGTGATGGCTTAATATAACTGAGTGGTAGTTACAATTTGTTTTTGAATTTGGTCAATTGTTCAATAAAATTAATTTAATATTTTAAATAATTATACATAACAATATCTGATAAAAAACATAATTGAGTGTATTGGAATATTGGGGTAATGTAAAATTTCAAATTGATTTAATTTATTATAAATTTTTATTGACATGTATACAACTTTTGGCTGGGGGTCATTCTGTTAATTTGACCGGCACCGATAATGTTACCATGACGTCATTGGTGCGATTATTATTATTATTTTTTTTTTATCGACACATCGAGAAGCTTGAAACTGTACGTTTCATATTTCAGTACACACCATCCTTTATTTAGTTAGATAAACCACGTCTTAAGAAGCAAAGGCCGCAAACCTCGAATTGAAGTTCAAAATGGGTAACAAGAGTCATCAAATAATATTATGTAATTTTCTCACCTATTTGATGACTGCTGTTGTCTATTTTGAACTTCAATTCGAGGTTCGCTGCTGCGTTTCTTAGGTGATGGCTTAATATAACTGAGTGGTAGTTACAATTTGTTTTTGAATTTGGTCAATTGTTCAATAAAATTAATTTAATATTTTAAATAATTATACATAACAATATCTGATAAAAAACATAATTGAGTGTATTGGAATATTGGGGTAATGTAAAATTTCAAATTGATTTAATTTATTATAAATTTTTATTGACATGTATACAACTTTTGGCTGGGGGTCATTCTGTTAATTTGACCGGCACCGATAATGTTACCATGACGTCATTGGTGCGATTATTATTATTATTATTTTTTTATCGACACATCGAGAAGCTTGAAACTGTACGTTTCATATTTCAGTACACACCATCCTTTATTTAGTTAGATAAACCACGTCTTAAGAAGCAAAGGCCGCAAACCTCGAATTGAAGTTCAAAATGGGTAACAAGAGTCATCAAATAATTTATGTAATTTTCTCACCTATTTGATGACTGCTGTTGTCTATTTTGAACTTCAATTCGAGGTTCGCTGCTGCGTTTCTTAGGTGATGGCTTAATATAACTGAGTGGTAGTTACAATTTGTTTTTGAATTTGGTCAATTGTTCAATAAAATTAATTTAATATTTTAAATAATTATACATAACAATATCTGATAAAAAACATAATTGAGTGTATTGGAATATTGGGGTAATGTAAAATTTCAAATTGATTTAATTTATTATAAATTTTTATTGACATGTATACAACTTTTGGCTGGGGGTCATTCTGTTAATTTGACCGGCACCGATAATGTTACCATGACGTCATTGGTGCGATTATTATTATTATTATTTTTTTATCGACACATCGAGAAGCTTGAAACTGTATGTTTCATATTTCAGTACACACCATCCTTTATTATCCATTACTAAAAGTATTGTAAATGACGATTCTGTAGTTTAAATTAAATATTTAGAAAAATGTATACTTAATAAATAATTGCTGTCTTTGAAAAATAAATAAAAAATTCTTGTCTTTGAAACTTGTTTATTTTTTACACGTGTTAACAAAGTTACCTACAGTTTAATCCTCGTCTCCTTGTATCTAATACCAAATTGACATCGACATACTTATGTCAACTATATTCAGTAGAAACAAGACATATACATGTACCAATGTATCTGTATGTAGTGTAGATACTCTCAATTTTTTTACAACCAAAACATTATTTTATTAATGTTCTTATATTTTAATACTAGTGTAATAAGGTGTAATTAATAACTGTGGAAATTAAAAATGTTTGATAATTATCGATCAATTATCCTAGTTCCCAATTTTACACTCAATCAATAGATTCGATACCATGCTTTACTGTACATAGATTTATTATTCAGTATCTAATACTGTAGGAGAAGATTTCTTACCCCAAAACTACCATTAAGTTTATAAAATATTTTATCAAAAATGTAATATAAAATTGCATCTTACTTGTTCATGGAATCATTTTTACAACCACGTAGCCGAAGACTTATTCTGGTTCTTTTGGCTGGAGGTTCTGCCTCCTATAGTAAACCAATTAACAAATTAATACATTAATTTGAACAAATATAAATAAATGTTAAAATTTTGAATAGGTAACATACTTTTATTGATGTGTTACTTATTGCCACCTTTTGAAATGTTTTATTTCTGCTGAAATGAACATAGAGCATTTTTAAATTTAAAACAATTTATAAGACTTATTGCAAAATATTGGAAGTAAACATTCATATAGCTTGTAGCTACAACTTACAGGTGGTTAAGAACTATAAATAATTTTATTGATGTTTTTTTAGAAACTAGTTTTACTTTTATTAATTACTATTTGTTATCAATTGAATTAGTTGTTTTTTACCCATAGAATTCATAACTATCAATTTATATATGAAGAAACCATATAATATTAACTATAGTTAACATCTGAATGTCAAACAAAAATGTATAAATGTAGAATGTAATAGACCCTCAATTGTTTTAATATCAATGAAGAAAAGTATATGATGGTCCAAATTTTACATGTCAAATTAATTAAAACTAAGACTACATACAGGCAGATGAATTCAGCTATACAGAAGAAAGATTTATAAAATGTATAAATAAGGATTTAAAAATTAAAAATCTGTTAAAATTAATATTATTAGTAAATGTAAAATAAAACATTGTTATGATTTTGTTTGTCAAAATAAGAAGTACATATTTAATAGGAATTAAAGAAATAATAAATTATTAATTTCATTATAAAAACAATTCATAATACATAAACATAATCTACCATAATTTTATAAATTATATTTAAGTTTCATACCTGCTAGATGACTCTTGTTTTCCATTTTGAACGTCAATTTGAGGTTTGCGGCCTCGTTTCTTAGGAGGTGGCTTATCTAGCCGAGTGGTAGTTACAATTTGTTTTTGAATTTGGTCATGTGTTCTATAATACAAAAATGTCAATATGAAATAAACTTTAACATCTATATTATAGTTGAGGGAAATTTGCTTACGGTTTAATTTCTTGTTGCTTTATAAAGTTGTTAACTGATCGTTGATGTACTTTGTGAAGTGGAATTTGGCTTTTAGATAACATTACTAAAGGGATGAACAATGTTCTACACTTCTACCACAGTTAATTTCATTAAGCGTATGTTCATTGAAAGTTTTTGGGGGACCTTTTGATCTTGTGGTCTGATGATCGGGGTATGTTGAAGTTGACACGATAGTCTTTGTTAATACAATTTCTTTTGGAATGATTGCTGTAACATTATCTTGGTCTTGCTTTGAAGATGTAGTTTCCAAAGTAATTTTTTGCTTAAACGATGATGATAGAGTTCTTGGAAATACCAATAACTTCACGATTCAAATTTTCTTTTCTAACAATGACACTAGGGTCAATGTTTATATCTCAATTGTTCTTATTATCATATAATGTGTTTGAAGTGGTATTCCGTTTACTATCTGTATTCATAGTTTTTTTTTTTATATTCATAACTAGGGACCGGATTTATATGCACAAAAAATTATCAAAATATGCTTCTAAAAATGCTGTAATATGTTATAAAATATGTATTTATTTTTAAATATGTACTTAAATATGCACTTAAAATTTTGTTTAAAACAATGTAAAAATATGTAAATGTATTATGTAAAATTATGTAACAATATTTATTAATAAATATGGTATTAAAAAAGTATAAAAAAGCTTTTAAAGTATTTTTTCGTCTTCGTCGCCATTCAACATTCTGTATCTTCAATCTATAAAGTATTAGCTCACATTAATAAAAACTGAAACAAAAATTGAATTCATATTTTACCTTATTGCATTGGATGATCAGAAGTTCCTTAATGTGTTCAAACGTTAAATTCCTCCGATTATATGTAAGTACATTTTTATACATTGAAAAACTTCGCTCGACCTCAGCAGTATTTATAGGAGCGTACTTCATACATGCAATATCACTTGCATTTAAATCTTCAGGTAGTTCATAGTTTCCGTCTATTTCTCCTTCAAAAATCTTAGATATTGTCTTCATTATTTTATCCATTATATTATCATTATCCAGGGTTTTTTCTTAGTACAGTTGTAAGTTTGGCATTTATAATACCACCAATTTTGTTTTTTGATAATTTTAATGTGGTTTTTGCATTGTCAATTTTATCGATTTTATGTGTCTGTGAACGTGAAAATACGACGAAAAACGAATAAATGTGTTATAAATAATAATATTAAAACTGCAAATATGCATTCAATATGTATTTAATAGGTAAAAATGTTGAAATATGCAAAATATGCAAAATAAAATTGGTGTTATTTTAATAAGAGTGATCGAAATCGGGGAAAATTTTCATCAGATTTCAAAAAGCTTATTCCAATACATATATGCATTTGCATATAAATCCGGTCCCTATTCATAACTAATAATTGATGGATTCACGATACTAGTTGAACTTGCACTATATGATGGGGATCCGAGAGATATTATTTGTGGTCGTAGTTTAGTAGAGACATTTTTATAAACATGATTCTTAAAGCTTTTCTTCAACCTTTAGTCCCCTTGTCTTAGTGATCATCTTAACTTCAGTTGAATTTGTTTCTATTTCTTTAGAGGTTTTTCCTTCAGATCCCATATACTTCCTTATTCCGGGTTCTTTTAGATTAAATTTTTCAAAATCATCATTTGTAGGCGCTTTTCTACTTTCAATCAATTCTCGTTCTATATTTGTATCATTTTCTACATGCTCATTGATTCTCTTAAAATGTACAGGACGAATAACTACATAATTCTTTACCAAATCGGGTTGCTCAAATGATCGATTATTTCCTGGTTCTTTCACTTTCTTCAAAGTAGATCTCTTATCTAATGATTTTATTTCTGTTTCTTCAACAACAATATTTTTTCTTAATTCGGCTTCCTTAAGTTTTTTTGTTTCAACTTCTTTAGCTATTTTGGATTGTTGCTCAATGGTTTGTCTTTGGAACCCTCCCTGTACTTGAACAGATTCATTATTAAGTTCAAAACAACATACGTTGTTTTCATTGATTTCATTATATTCATTATCTTCATATTGATTGTATATTGGATTACTTTTGCCAAATTCGTTAGATTCATTTTTTATATAAATGTCTTGATCATTTGTTTCTTCTAAAATGTCATCAACCGGTTCCTCTTTAACTAATATCATAGTTAATTCATTATTTCTACAGAAGTTCCCCATACCGGCAAAATATTCGTTTATCATTTGGTTCACATTGTTTCTATCCATTTCAATTTCTTCTTCTTCTTCTTCTTCTATTTTCTCAAGTCTTTTTCTTCTTCTATTTTCGTTTTTTCTCGTAATTCTTTTATCTTTCTTTGATTTTCTTCTTTTTCTTTTCTTTCATTATCTTCTCTTTTCATTATTACTTTACCTCCATATGTAATAGGTGTTAAAGTGATGCATGGTGGAATTTTAATATTTAGTGGTTTAATGTTACTTGTTCCTCGTTTTATGCCAACGTCTGATATTACACCATGTAATACAGGTATTCCAGAGACTGATACTGTAGTGCTTTGATCGTCATAAATTTTCTCAGACTGACAAAAACTCTCTTTCAAATTATTTACTCCTTGGTTTGTAGTCTTTGATCCTTTAGTATCTTTAATGTCTTTTGTCGTACTCTAGTGATCTGAGCAAAAGTATCAAAAGCTCCAATAGTTGAATCACTTTCACTTACAGAAGAATCACCTTGATCCACAACAACTGTATCCATTGTTGGCCTATCATCTATGTTAATGTTTATATCATCATCAATGACTACAACGGCAGGAAATGAACAACTACTATTAATTAATTTAACCACATTTAGGGTACTATTATTGAATCTAATAGGTTTTTTAACATCAGTGTTCGAGACTTGAGTATTATTAGTTTTATTTCTCAGTGCTGAAGCAAATTTAATGTTAAACGGTTTCTTGATTTTGTTAACTACTACCATAGGGTAGTTGGTAGGTGACAAAAATGTTGAATCTTTTCTACTATCAATACAAATTATACTCGATGCTTTTATTTCAATTTCTCCTTTTTGTTTCAATAGTTTACCATCGTATGTTGTCAATGTATTTTGCAAACGTCCGCTATCTTTGAGTATAGAAATAGCATCTTGAAAAGTATCCATTTCAACAGAAACTTCATCTTTGGTTTTGCCCAACAAGCATTTATAATCTTTATGTATAGATATTTTCTCTACCTTTTTATTACTTGTATCTTTACTATTAACTTTATTATTTGTCAATAAATTATCTCCTGGATTTGATAGACGTAGTCTTTGCAAGGAAGACCATGTCATTTTAGGAGGAGTTTGAGTTTGTATTTCATCTTGAACGGATGATACTGGTTCAACTTCAATTTGGTCTATATCAAGCAGATCATCGTCAATTAAATGAGTTTTGTTAATTTGAGATACCCCACTTTGTTGTCGCAAGCTTTCACGTTCTTTCCATCAGACAGTTTAGTATCATTCAATTGTTTAACACCACCTCCTGCTTGAGATTGACTTCTCGTTGCTCTAGGTTCAAGTCTACAACTAGTTTCTTTTTTATCTTCAAACGAACTTTTAAGAGTGGTATTTTTATTGTCTTCTTCAGTTTCACTATCAGATACTAGATCAATGTAACTTGAATATTGCTTTTCATCCATTTTTAACTGCTGAAACTGGGATCTTTGATATGTGTCCCTTCAAAGCCGATAAAGATTTATTGATTTGATTGAAAGATTAGTAAAATTATTACCATTAATTCCTAGAATTCAAACTACACAAGGTAAATTTAGATTTACCTTCTATTTTACGATTTTATGTAATTTTATTTAATTTCCACAGTTATTAATTACACCTTATTACACTAGTATTAAAATATAAGAACATTAATAAAATAATGTTTTGGTTGTAAAAAAATTGAGAGTATCTACACTACATACAGATACATCGGTACATGTATATGTCTTGTTTCTACTGAATATAGTTGACATAAGAATGTCGATGTCAATATGGTATTAGATACAAGGAGACGAGGATTGAACTGTAGGTAACTTTGTTAACACGTGTAAAAAAAATAAACAAGTTTCAAAGACAAGAATTTTTTATTTATTTTTCATAGACAGCAATTATTTATTAAGTATACATTTTTCTAAATATTTAATTTAAACTACAGAATCGTCATTTACAATACTTTTAGTGATGGATAATAAAGGATGGTGTGTACTGAAATATGAAACGTACAGTTTCAAGCTTCTCGATGTGTCGATAAAAAAATAATAATAATAATAATCGCACCAATGACGTCATGGTAACATTATCGGTGCCGGTCAAATTAACAGAATGACCCCCAGCCAAAAGTTGTATACATGTCAATAAAAATTTATAATAAATTAAATCAATTTGAAATTTTACATTACCCCAATATTCCAATACACTCAATTATGTTTTTTATCAGATATTGTTATGTATAATTATTTAAAATATTAAATTAATTTTATTGAACAATTGACCAAATTCAAAAACAAATTGTAACTACCACTCAGTTATATTAAGCCATCACCTAAGAAACGCAGCAGCGAACCTCGAATTGAAGTTCAAAATAGACAACAGCAGTCATCAAATAGGTGAGAAAATTACATAATATTATTTGATGACTCTTGTTACCCATTTTGAACTTCAATTCGAGGTTTGCGGCCTTTGCTTCTTAAGACGTGGTTTATCTAACTAAATAAAGGATGGTGTGTACTGAAATATGAAACGTACAGTTTCAAGCTTCTCGATGTGTCGATAAAAAAAAAATAATAATAATAATCGCACCAATGACGTCATGGTAACATTATCGGTGCCGGTCAAATTAACAGAATGACCCCCAGCCAAAAGTTGTATACATGTCAATAAAAATTTATAATAAATTAAATCAATTTGAAATTTTACATTACCCCAATATTCCAATACACTCAATTATGTTTTTTATCAGATATTGTTATGTATAATTATTTAAAATATTAAATTAATTTTATTGAACAATTGACCAAATTCAAAAACAAATTGTAACTACCACTCAGTTATATTAAGCCATCACCTAAGAAACGCAGCAGCGAACCTCGAATTGAAGTTCAAAATAGACAACAGCAGTCATCAAATAGGTGAGAAAATTACATAATATTATTTGATGACTCTTGTTACCCATTTTGAACTTCAATTCGAGGTTTGCGGCCTTTGCTTCTTAAGACGTGGTTTATCTAACTAAATAAAGGATGGTGTGTACTGAAATATGAAACGTACAGTTTCAAGCTTCTCGATGTGTCGATAAAAAAATAACAATAATAATAATCGCACCAATGACGTCATGGTAACATTATCGGTGCCGGTCAAATTAACAGAATGACCCCCAGCCAAAAGTTGTATACATGTCAATAAAAATTTATAATAAATTAAATCAATTTGAAATTTTACATTACCCCAATATTCCAATACACTCAATTATGTTTTTTATCAGATATTGTTATGTATAATTATTTAAAATATTAAATTAATTTTATTGAACAATTGACCAAATTCAAAAACAAATTGTAACTACCACTCAGTTATATTAAGCCATCACCTAAGAAACGCAGCAGCGAACCTCGAATTGAAGTTCAAAATAGACAACAGCAGTCATCAAATAGGTGAGAAAATTACATAATATTATTTGATGACTCTTGTTACCCATTTTGAACTTCAATTCGAGGTTTGCGGCCTTTGCTTCTTAAGACGTGGTTTATCTAACTAAATAAAGGATGGTGTGTACTGAAATATGAAACGTACAGTTTCAAGCTTCTCGATGTGTCGATAAAAAAATAACAATAATAATAATCGCACCAATGACGTCATGGTAACATTATCGGTGCCGGTCAAATTAACAGAATGACCCCCAGCCAAAAGTTGTATACATGTCAATAAAAATTTATAATAAATTAAATCAATTTGAAATTTTACATTACCCCAATATTCCAATACACTCAATTATGTTTTTTATCAGATATTGTTATGTATAATTATTTAAAATATTAAATTAATTTTATTGAACAATTGACCAAATTCAAAAACAAATTGTAACTACCACTCAGTTATATTAAGCCATCACCTAAGAAACGCAGCAGCGAACCTCGAATTGAAGTTCAAAATAGACAACAGCAGTCATCAAATAGGTGAGAAAATTACATAATATTATTTGATGACTCTTGTTACCCATTTTGAACTTCAATTCGAGGTTTGCGGCCTTTGCTTCTTAAGACGTGGTTTATCTAACTAAATAAAGGATGGTGTGTACTGAAATATGAAACGTACAGTTTCAAGCTTCTCGATGTGTCGATAAAAAAAAAATAATAATAATAATCGCACCAATGACGTCATGGTAACATTATCGGTGCCGGTCAAATTAACAGAATGACCACCAGCCAAAAGTTGTATACATGTCAATAAAAATTTATAATAAATTAAATCAATTTGAAATTTTACATTACCCCAATATTCCAATACACTCAATTATGTTTTTTATCAGATATTGTTATGTATAATTATTTAAAATATTAAATTAATTTTATTGAACAATTGACCAAATTCAAAAACAAATTGTAACTACCACTCAGTTATATTAAGCCATCACCTAAGAAACGCAGCAGCGAACCTCGAATTGAAGTTCAAAATAGACAACAGCAGTCATCAAATAGGTGAGAAAATTACATAATATTATTTGATGACTCTTGTTACCCATTTTGAACTTCAATTCGAGGTTTGCGGCCTTTGCTTCTTAAGACGTGGTTTATCTAACTAAATAAAGGATGGTGTGTACTGAAATATGAAACGTACAGTTTCAAGCTTCTCGATGTGTCGATAAAAAAATAACAATAATAATAATCGCACCAATGACGTCATGGTAACATTATCGGTGCCGGTCAAATTAACAGAATGACCCCCAGCCAAAAGTTGTATACATGTCAATAAAAATTTATAATAAATTAAATCAATTTGAAATTTTACATTACCCCAATATTCCAATACACTCAATTATGTTTTTTATCAGATATTGTTATGTATAATTATTTAAAATATTAAATTAATTTTATTGAACAATTGACCAAATTCAAAAACAAATTGTAACTACCACTCAGTTATATTAAGCCATCACCTAAGAAACGCAGCAGCGAACCTCGAATTGAAGTTCAAAATAGACAACAGCAGTCATCAAATAGGTGAGAAAATTACATAATATTATTTGATGACTCTTGTTACCCATTTTGAACTTCAATTCGAGGTTTGCGGCCTTTGCTTCTTAAGACGTGGTTTATCTAACTAAATAAAGGATGGTGTGTACTGAAATATGAAACGTACAGTTTCAAGCTTCTCGATGTGTCGATAAAAAAATAACAATAATAATAATCGCACCAATGACGTCATGGTAACATTATCGGTGCCGGTCAAATTAACAGAATGACCCCCAGCCAAAAGTTGTATACATGTCAATAAAAATTTATAATAAATTAAATCAATTTGAAATTTTACATTACCCCAATATTCCAATACACTCAATTATGTTTTTTATCAGATATTGTTATGTATAATTATTTAAAATATTAAATTAATTTTATTGAACAATTGACCAAATTCAAAAACAAATTGTAACTACCACTCAGTTATATTAAGCCATCACCTAAGAAACGCAGCAGCGAACCTCGAATTGAAGTTCAAAATAGACAACAGCAGTCATCAAATAGGTGAGAAAATTACATAATATTATTTGATGACTCTTGTTACCCATTTTGAACTTCAATTCGAGGTTTGCGGCCTTTGCTTCTTAAGACGTGGTTTATCTAACTAAATAAAGGATGGTGTGTACTGAAATATGAAACGTACAGTTTCAAGCTTCTCGATGTGTCGATAAAAAAATAACAATAATAATAATCGCACCAATGACGTCATGGTAACATTATCGGTGCCGGTCAAATTAACAGAATGACCCCCAGCCAAAAGTTGTATACATGTCAATAAAAATTTATAATAAATTAAATCAATTTGAAATTTTACATTACCCCAATATTCCAATACACTCAATTATGTTTTTTATCAGATATTGTTATGTATAATTATTTAAAATATTAAATTAATTTTATTGAACAATTGACCAAATTCAAAAACAAATTGTAACTACCACTCAGTTATATTAAGCCATCACCTAAGAAACGCAGCAGCGAACCTCGAATTGAAGTTCAAAATAGACAACAGCAGTCATCAAATAGGTGAGAAAATTACATAATATTATTTGATGACTCTTGTTACCCATTTTGAACTTCAATTCGAGGTTTGCGGCCTTTGCTTCTTAAGACGTGGTTTATCTAACTAAATAAAGGATGGTGTGTACTGAAATATGAAACGTACAGTTTCAAGCTTCTCGATGTGTCGATAAAAAAAAAATAATAATAATAATCGCACCAATGACGTCATGGTAACATTATCGGTGCCGGTCAAATTAACAGAATGACCACCAGCCAAAAGTTGTATACATGTCAATAAAAATGTATAATAAATTAAATCAATTTGAAATTTTACATTACCCCAATATTCCAATACACTCAATTATGTTTTTTATCAGATATTGTTATGTATAATTATTTAAAATATTAAATTAATTTTATTGAACAATTGACCAAATTCAAAAACAAATTGTAACTACCACTCAGTTATATTAAGCCATCACCTAAGAAACGCAGCAGCGAACCTCGAATTGAAGTTCAAAATAGACAACAGCAGTCATCAAATAGGTGAGAAAATTACATAAATTATTTGATGACTCTTGTTACCCATTTTGAACGTCAATTCGAGGTTTGCGGCCTTTGCTTCTTAAGACGTGGCTTATCTAACTTGAGTGGTTCTCTGTAATATATGCTCAATAAAACAATATATTTATTTTAAACATATTTCTTTACACTTCCATTCAATTTTAATGAAGTATAATATTATTATATTATTAGGTATTTATTTATCATTTTCTAAACCTTCAGTAATATGTTGCAGCATATCATTAAGATTAATTTATTGTTTTGGGTTTTAAATCGGTATGTGATCCTTGAATACAATAACGCGACAATTGTGCGGTTTCTAATTAATTTGATGTAATTATCAGTACCCTTAAAATATGGATGTTAGAGTGTCTAGCAAGTCAGTTATCACCAGTCTAAGACGAAACCAAAATGAACAATCCACCTGCGACGGATAGAGTGGCATAGAGAATACTTTAAGTGTTCGATGGGGTACTCCTCTGTAGATGGAGAATGCTGCTTGTTTTCGGCGAGACTTCCTTGTGCCGGCGGAGACAAGGGTGAGATAATGCCAGATTTCCCTAAAAAAAAATATTTGAAATTTAAATATGGTTTGTATATAAAATTTAAAACTGTTTATTACCTGTTCATATAAACTGCTGAACGATGGTGGGGAAATAACTATTGAACGCTCTCTATTGTATCCCTGTAAAAATTTAGTTCATTAACATAACATAATAATAATATAAGTTAAGAAAATATATTCATACCTCATCTTTTTCCACTTTTTTCTATCCATTTTTGAACGATAGAATCAGTTGCGTGTAATTTTACTTGATTTGTGTAAATGTAATCGCCCTGACTAATACCATAATGTATTGTCTCGTCAATAACATTTCTTTGGAAATATAACTATTGTCAATGTTTCTCACATGGTTTCTCATTATTTCGAGTGTAGAGTTTTGTAGCGGTACGTTTATTTTTAAGAATGTAGCGATTAGCTCAATATGATGTAGTACAATTGGTTTAACTATTTCTAAATCTTACAACTGTAATAGATCGGTGCGATATAACAGAACACGACATTCGGTTTTCTATTACAAAGGCGAATGCCGAAAAAAGTAACAATAAACGAATATACAAAAGGTATTTCTAAGACGCGCAACGTTAGTCACGAGGTTTTGATATAATATGCGAGAGCCGAGAGGTAAGTAGCGAGAACTTGTTGATTATCGCGAAGTCGCGGGAGAAATGGAGAACTAAGAAGAGAAAAAACGGTCCGGAATCTGGATGGCGGCTAGACTGTAGCCGCCGTGCGAAGCCGGCCGTTGGTTTGGAGGGGGGTGACCAACGCCTTACAGTGCTAGCATCGTCCGGGAGGAAATCATGTGATGGTTGCGCCGCCACAATATATTTAATAGCGTTTTCCACCTGACCGCACTGTCGTCTGTCGCACCAAAGTGGCACTGGTACAGTTCACTGATAATCGTTCTAGTGCAGGTTGGTGCAAGTGCTGATGAAACATACAATTTGTTTATCATTTAATTTCTCTTAAAATAGAATTCATATCAATAGCTATTATTATTATTAATATACAGATTACAGATAATACAAATAATAATTCATTACAAATTAAAACAATTTTCATCACAATTTCATTAAATTTATTACAAATTGTTATTATTAATTATTATGTCTGAATATAATTTACAAATAACAATCGGTAGTAAACCGTTTTTTTTTGTGGTTGATGAATCAGCCATACATTATTTTCAGCAAACTGGTAAGTATTTTATATATTTATAAAGTATGAGTCCAATCAAGTATGAGTATAAGCCCAACTAGGGGGGTACTTTAGCACTCCCAAATCTCCAATTCAACACCACCTGGTCATTGTTATAAAACACTATAAATAATGTGAGAAAAAAAAAATAAAAAAAACAGGGAAAAAAACTGTGGGTCAGCTGACCTCCCAAACCCCCCCTGGGTCCGCCCCTGTCATGGACCATTCACAATTTATTTATCCAATACTAAATATTTTTATTTATAGTAACAACTTTAAATTTAATATTAATTCAAATTCAAATTCTTTAAAGAGTTTAATTTAATTTAATTTTACATTTCATGGTATATAGGTCCAAAAGATTGTTTGGAAACAGTGCTAGACTTTTTAAAAAACTGTTTAGATGATGGATCTGTAAATCTTAATATGGATACTATTAAAAATTCTAGGATAAAAGTTACAATTCCTGAAAGGTAAATCAAAAATTTTAAGTTATTATATTCTCCTTTGTACAATAACCAATGTATTAGCCTACAACTAAAGTATTCAATGGGTATGTTTTATTGTCAATTTTAGAAATACTGAGTTCATTGTTCAACCAGCAATGCCTATTGATTGGAATGATTCAAATGACAATGTAAATATCCTGGAAATGGATATTTCTAAGACATTCGACAACGATTTGACAAATAGCAGGTCGGTGCATCTTCTATAAATGTAACCCCTTCTCCACCTAAACAATTGAACCTAGAGAAGATAGAATAGAAATTAAAATTAAGAAAGATAGTATTGAAATGGCACCAATTGTAGACAAAATAAGAAAGAATAGGCCATTTACTAATTTAAAATTGTATATTAATTAATTCCCATCGCCCAGTGCACTTCTATAAGTTCACTGCAGTAGCCCTACCCTGACCTTGATTGGTTGGGGTAGACTGGTCCTCCAGGTTGGGGGTTAAGCGCAGGGTTAACACCCCTGCCTAGTAAAAGAACCTTGTTATGATACCAACTACACCTAAGCCTCGGACAAGATTACACGGATTCAAGACTGGTTTTTGGAAACGGAAAGCTGATTTTAAGATTGCGACATGGAATGTGACAAGCTTGTATAGAACAGGTGCAAGTTAAAATTTAGCTGACGTCCTTAACAACTACAACATTAAAGTAGCAGCCATACAAGAAATAAGATGGTTGGGAGTAGGACAACTAACGATAGGAGAGTACACAATTTTCTTCTCTGGAATGGAGAATACACGTCATCTCGGCAATGGCTTTGCAGTTCATATAACACTAGTACCGTACATTAAGGAGTTTAATCCAGTATCCGAACGGATATCAACCTTAACCATCAACACTAGTCCAATTAATATCTGTATAATAAATTGCCACGCACCAACAGAAGTAAAAGATGACAATGTGAAAGATAGCTTCTACGACGAACTGACTGATACATATGAAGGTATCAATGGGAACATGATAAGGATTGTAATAGGTGATTTAAATGCAAAATGCGGATGGGAACCACAGTACTTCCCTTACATAGGGAAGGAAAGTTTGCATTGCAACAGCAATGACAATGGTCAGCGATTGATAGCGTTTGCTACATCAAATGGATTGACTGTTAGTAGTACCACTTTCCCACATAAAAATATTCACAAAGCCACTTGGAGGTCACCGGATGGAGAAACCCTGAACCAAATCGATCACATTCTCATACAGACTAGATACCGTAGTACAATCCACGATGTAAGAAGCCACAGAGGTGCTGACTGTGACACGGATCATTACTTAGTGATTGCCAAACTTAGATCAAAGTTAAAAAACCAATCGAGATTAAAAGACAAAAGAGCTAAATTCAACCTAGAGTTACTAAGAGATGAAACCGTGAGGAAAAAATATGAGAGCGAAGTAAGGAAAGAGCTTAAAGAAAATAGCGTACAAATAGAAATAGATGTAGACTTGGATTGGGAAAAAGTGAGTAATGCTGTCAAAAAAGCAGCGGCCACTAGCATTGGTGAGCTAAAAAGGTCAAGAAGTACTTGGTATAATGATGTGTGTAGAATTGCTGTGGACAAACGTCGCAAAGCGAGAGATGACTATATTAAGAACAACACTCAAACAACTAAAGAAGCTTTCATTCGGGAACGTAAAATCTGCAAAAGCGACCTTCAAAGGGAAAAAAGAAAATTCTTTAACAACATACTTCATACCGCAGAGAACGATCATACGCAGGGGAGAACTAGACATTTTTTTAGAGTCATCAAACAGTATAAACAATTCAACCCTATATGGAATGCAATCAGAGACCAAGACGGACAAATGTTAATGGAGCCAGAGTCAAGAGCTGAGAGATGGAAAGGCTATTTTGAAAAACTACTATATGGTAACATGCCAGCCCAGCCTGTAACACATGTCGAATATGAAAGACCGGAGCCCTATGTAGAGGATGTTAGTCTAGATGAAGTAAAAAGTGCTATAATTGGCCTGAAAAACTGGAAAGCACCGGGTACAGATAATATTCCAACAGAACTCATTAAATATGGAGGCGAGGAGCTACATGTAGTAATATACAGACTGTGCCAGCAAATATGGATGGAAGAACGGGTACCGGATAGCTGGAATGAGGCAATCATTATACCATTGTACAAAAAAGGAGATAATACAAAATGTGATAATTATAGAGGGATATCGCTCTTGAACTCTGCGTACAAGGTCTTCTCTAGAATCTTACTAAATCGCATGGTCCCTTATGTGGAGGACTGTTTAGGTGAATATCAATGTGGTTTCCGAAAAGGACGTTCAACCACGGAACAACTATCCGTAATAGGCCAAATAATTGAAAAGAGATACGAATATCGGCAGAATATGTGGCAAATTTTTATAGATTTCAAAAAAGCCTATGATAGTATCCACAGAGAGAGCCTCTACAAAATTATGTATGAGTGCGGTTTCCCAAAAAAATTAATATCCCTAACTAAAATGTGTATGGAAAACACGAAATACAGAGTGAGAACACAAAATGTAACATCAGAAACCTTTACAGTGGAAACCGGACTAAAACAGGGAGATGCCCTGTCCCCGGTACTCTTCAATCTTGCTTTAGAGAAGGTAATAAGGGTACTACAGGACAATGAAGGTGGCCTACTAATCGGTCAGAATAAGATACAGATCCTAGGCTTTGCTGATGATTTAGACATAATAGGCGATTCACTTTCAGACGCAGCCAACGCAGCCAGAGTGTTAGAAGAAGCGGCGAAATAGGTCTTGAAATTAACACTGAGAAAACAAAGATAATGGAACTAATTGAGAGTGGGGAGGACCCTAGTGAGTCGGAGAATTTAGCCTATGAAAAAGTTAGCGATTTCAAATATCTGGGAGCTACATTAAGTACAAAGAATGATTGGTCAAAGGAAATAAGTATTCGGATAAACAAAGCTCAGAGAACGTTCTATGCACTGACAAAATTTTTCACGTCCAAAATGTTATCAAGGAAGACGAAAGCAAGACTATACGTAGCCATTATAAGACCGACGCTAACATATGGTTGCGAAGCTTGGACGACAACCAAACAAACAGAGAGAAAACTAAGGACTTTTGAACATAGAATATGGAGGAAAATATGTGGACCTGTCTTTGACGAAACAACGGGGAATTGGCGGAGGAGGTACAACAGAGAGTTGTACGAATGTTGGAACTAACAACAGTAACAAGCTTCATTAAAAGCCAAAGGATACAATGGCTAGGACACATAATGAGAAGACGAGAGAATGAAATAGTTAGAGTGACATTGGAATGGAAGCCAATAGGTAAAAGACCAAGAGGTAGACCGAGAAAAAGATGGATAGACGTGGTAGAAAAAGATTTAAAAATCCTTGGAGTTGAGAATTGGAGGGAGACAGTTCAAGATAGAGACAGGTGGCGAAGTGTAGTAATGGCGGCAAAAACTCTTAGAGAGTAGAAATGCCATTAGAAGAAGAAGATATTAATTAATTAAATTTAAAGCTGTGAGATTATTATTAACAGTTTTTTCAGTCTTGGGCAATATTCCGAATAAAGTATTTAGAATACTGTATTTTGAATATATTTGAAAGTATTCCAAATACCTACTATAATCAGGATACTATTTTTACCAAATATTTGAATATTTATTCTGAATACTAATTTGCAAGAATGTTCGAGTATTTATTCCAAATAGTTTTAAAAAGTAATTTACCCAAGACTGAGTTTTAACTATCTACATGTAATTCATAAATCATTTTTACATTTCCTACTTATATAATATAAGAAAACATGTCACAAACAATTCTTTATTACTAATCAGATAGTGAAACAAAAATTGAAAATAAATATATTTTGCTCCCCCCCTAGGCTCTTGAAATAAGTTGAGATGGTGTGATAATAAAATGAGGATAGGTGACCTTTTATAATATATCCTTATGAGTTATGATATTGTCTACATTATTGATACTTTTTACATTTTTATAATTATAGAAATACTATACCACAGGACACTATAGATTACAATAATTTAAACTCGTCTGGCAGCCAAAGTATTTTGCAAGTACTAAATCACACAGATATGACGGAAACAAATCCTTCTAATTCAGCCAATGGTAAGAGTACCCGAGTACCCAATATTTTTAACAGGGAGTGCAGAATAATTTGTATGAAAATCTATTTTGAACAATTAATAGAACACCAAATTATTTTTAAGGAAAAGAAATAAAAGAAGGCAATGGTGTATGGAGCGAAGGAATCACTAAATTTATGTTGGAAAAATATTCAAAATATATGAGTTATGTTGGACCCATGAAAAAATTTAAGAACAAAAAATCTATGTGAATACAATTGACTTCTGATATTCAAGAGGAATTAAATGTAGATTTCTCTTAAATTCAAGTTGAAAACCGTTACAAGACAATTTGTAAAAGAAAAAAGTCCATAATTGACAATAACAGAAGCACAGGTGCATCACGGATGGATGATGAGTACGAAGAAGAATGGAAAGAAATAACTAACAATGATGATAGCATATTGCCAGAAGTATTACGCAGCGCTAAAACAGTTGTCATTAACAAAAAAGATTGTTTAGAGCCAAAACAAAAAAAAAGAGAACAGACAACAACGAGACCATGTTATTAAATTTTCTTAAGGAAAAGGAGATTGCAAAAGAAAGGCGCCACAATGAAAAAATGAATCTCCTAAAAAGTCTTTTAGGAGATAAATAATATGTGACCCATGTTTATACCATTGATTATTATTTTATGTGTATAAAGAGTGAAATATTCAAAAACTGTATTATATTTTGTAAATTTTGTTAAAGACTGAGAAAAGCTTTATTAGTGTTTAATTCAGTCACGCACGGACAGTCGTACTGTACGCACACGCTTTTATGGTGTCCCGTGTTATGTTCGATTTGTTGCTTCTAATCCGAACCGTTTTCTTCGTATTTTCTATTATTCAACGTGGTTTTTGAATAACACCTCAAACCCTGCGCCGTCAGCTCAACTCACTGACTCCCGAGTACAGGGAGTACCCAGTTCGGTATATTTTAACTTTAAGTGCGCTAAATAGCACAGTGTCTGATATTTAAATAATCTCACATCCAAGGCACCGTTACTCGCGGTGACCTTTGGACCTGCGATAACATTCGCGTTCCTATCTAATAACAATTTAACTGATTTACGCCAATTAAAAATAATTGGGTAATAATGAGCTCAATATCTAAGGACAAAAAAAAATAAACAATCTCTAGCTAAGCGTTCAATGTCAACAAATGATAAATCGATCGAAACAAAGAAAAGAAATCTCTCTTCTTCCAATTCTGATTCCACATCATCTCCAAAAGTGCAACATAAAAAAAAACTGTTCTCTTCACCGAACAGATTTGAATTACTCAGCGCAGCTGAAACATCCAATGAAGACATTATTATCGATGAATTACAGCCAACCACTTCAGTCTCTGTTCATCCCGCAAACAAGCCACCTCCTCCAATATTTATTAAAGGGGTCGAAGATTTCCCAGGCTTATGTACCGAATTAATCAACTTGATTGGCGTCGATAATTTTTATTGCAAATCTATTACGGATAAATTAAAAATTCAAACATCGAACCCAGATTCTTATAGAACTGTAGTGCATTTTCTAAAGAAAGAAAAAGCTGAGTTCCACACTTATCAATTAAATGAAGATAAACCAACTCGCGTAGTTTTGCGTAATCTACATCCCTCTACTCCGACTGAACTAATTAAAAGCGAACTGGAAGTACGACTATTCAAAGTAAGGCAAGTTACCCAAGTATTACACCGTATCAATAAACACCCCCTTCCACTCTTCTTCATCGACTTAGAACCCACAGACTTCTCACAAGGTATATACCAACTGGATTCCTTGTTACATACAAAAATTAAAATCGAAGAGCCTCACAAGCCAAAGATCATAAGCCAATGTCAAAACTGCCAAGCTTATGGCCACACCAAAGCATATTGCGGATATATGCCTCGTTGTGTCCGCTGCGGAAACAATCATCACTCATCTGCCTGCCCAAATTCACGCCAAGATCCTATGAGATGCGCCCTCTGTTCCGGCAACCATCCGGCGAACTATAAGGGCTGTTCAACATACAAAGAGCTCCAGCTTCGTAAGAAACCAAATACAAATTATCTTAACCTACATAATCTTAAGTTTAAGCCAAATAATGTAAAAGACAGCCACCCACCAACTGACACTTCACCCAATCATCCAACTCATTCTCAAACGTATGCTCAAGCCACTCAGAATCAACCTCCCCCCCAAAATACTCCTCCAATAACTATAGATCCTAATACACAAATGTCAAGCTTCCTAAACGAATTTAAACTCCTAATTAACCCATTAATTACTTACTAAAGTTATTTCCAGTTAATTAGATAAAAAAAATGAATAACTCAATCACAAACAATTCCCTCTTAATTTTACTATTTAACGCTAATGGTCTTAAAAACCACTTAAACGAGCTCCAATCTGTTTTATACAATAGTCGTATTGACATTGCATTGATAACAGAAACCCACTTCACTAAGTACTCTAAATTCCATATCCCAGGTTTTCATCTAATAAAAACAAACAATCCAGATAATTCGGCACATGGTGGAGTAGCCTTACTAATCAAAACCTCCTTATTTTTTCACCCACTCCCTGAATATAGCCATGATTATATTCAATCTTGCTTCATCCAAATTAAATTGAATAACACCCCAATCACCATAGGTGCTCTATACTCCCCCCCTCGTCACAATATTACCAGAGCTATACTTAATGATTTTTTTGGTTCAATTAAAAACAACTTCATTATCGGGGGTGATTACAATGCCAAGCACCAAAGCTGGGGCTGTCGTGTTAATAACCCTCGTGGTATCATTTTACACAGCTTTTCCAAAGAAAAAAATTTTAATATCCTCTCACCTCCTGGACCTACTTATTGGCCTACTTCACTCAAAAAAAAACCTGACATTCTTGATATTTTTACCGCCAAGATACCCAGCAACATACATTTCTGTACCAAAAACATACTCGATTTAAACTCTGATCATTCCTCAGTTCTCCTAACCATTTCAGCCACGCCATTAGCACGTATTAACCCACCCAAATTATTCTCATCCCTTACGGATCACATAAAATTTCATGATACAGTAAATAAAAATATTAACCTAAATATCAGGTTGAAATCTAATCTCGATATTGACGAAGCAGTCAACAATTTCACAACTCTAATTCAATCGGCAGCGTGGACCGCCCTAAAACCTGTCAAAACTGTTAATTCAAACAATATAATAAACTCTAATTTTAATTACCCATTAATACCAGAAGAAATTCGATGTTTAATTGTGGAAAAACGTAGAGCGAGAGCAAGGTACCACCTCTCTCGTCTTCCTTCACACAAATCCGCCTATAACAAACCTGCCAATTCTTTGAAAAAAATCCTTACAAAACATAAAGCCAATGCTTTCGAGCAAAAATTGCGCAACCTATCTGTTGCAAACGGTTCCCTTTGGAGAGAAACTAAACAGCTTTTAAAATACAAATCTCCCTCAACTCCTCTTAAAAAAGCAGACAATTCATTAGCTATTAGTGACGCAGAAAAAGCAGAAGTATTCAAAACGCATTTATCAAATATTTAGACTCTCCGTTACCTAATGGACCTCCCGTGAAATACACCACACCAAACGAGATTAAAAATATAATTTTAAAACACTCGAAAAAAAAAGCTCCCGGTTTTGACCTTATAACAGCAGAGGTTGCAAAATGTTTACCCAAAAAGGCAATAGTCCTTTTGACTTATATTTTTAATGCAATATTTCGTCTTTCATATTTCCTACTTATATGGAAATTTTCACACATTGTCATGTTTGCAAAGCCAAACAAACCTCCAGATGCTCCAAACTCATATAGACCAATAAGCCTCTTACCATTTTTCTCAAAAATTTGCGAAAGGCTTATTCTTCATCGACTATCCCCACATGTTATCTCAAATAACATTCTTCCTTCATCCCAATTCGGATTTCGCGCTAAACACAACACAATTCATCAAGTACACCGCCTGGTTGATTCTATATCAACCTCGCTGGAACGTAAACAATATTGTTCCTGTGTTTTTTTTAGATATATCACAGGCATTTGATCGGGTTTGGCACGATGGCTTACTTTATAAACTTCGAAAATTTCTTCCACCTCCCCTGTTTCTCCTAACTAAATCCTACCTCACCGATCGATACTTTCAAATTCGCATTGGAACATGTACTTCACAAATGGCTATGATAAATGCAGGCGTACCCCAAGGTGGTATTCTATCTCCATTATTGTTTAACATCTATGCCTCTGATCAACCCGTCACTGAAAACACCATTGTTGCTGATTACGCTGATGACAAAGCTTTAATTTCAATTCACGAAAATCCCCTAATAGCCTCTGGTAATTTACAAACTCATCTTAATCTTATTTCATCTTGGTACGCCAAGTGGAGAATTAAACTGAATCACGCCAAGTCAATACATTCCACCTTCACCCTGAAACATGGCCTCTGTCCTCCAGTTACATTGGATAACATACCTATACCCACTTCCGATACAGTAAAATATTTAGGCCTTATCTTAGATAAAAGACTGACTTGGAATCCACACATCAGATCCAAAAGACTAATACTAAACTCTCGTTCTCGTATGCTCAAAACCTTGTTATCAAAAAATAAATATTCAAGCCTAAAAAATAAACTACTAATTTACAAAACATTTCTAAAACCAATCTGGACTTATGGTCTACAACTTTGGGGTACGGCAAAGAAATCGAATCTTAATAAAATTCAATCTTATCAGAATATCACTCTACGTCAGCTCACTAACGCTCCACCATACATTTCTAATTTAACACTCCACAACGATCTACATGTCAAAACGATTGAAGAGGAGTCGGTTATAAATTACAAGCGATTCTTCTCACGTCTGGCAAACCATATCAACCCTCTAATTAGGAATCTAAATACCTTAACACTTCCCGATAATCCTCGCCGTCGACTGAAAAGGAGATGGTGCAGAGATAGCTTACTATAATCATAATCACTCCCTCTCTCTCTCTCTCTTTAAAAAAAAAAAAATAATAATAATAATAATAATAATAATAATAATTAAAAAATAAAAATTCTATTCCTTCCTCCCAAATCTCCCATCACGCAAAGAGTCACTAGTGGGCGACTTCTTAATCACGCTTATCATGTTTTGTTTGTCACTTGTCACTTATACTTATTATGCTATAAAGTATAGATTGTATAATTATTATAAAAAATAAAAAAATAATAAAAAAAAGTGTTTAATTAGTTTACTTAGTAATTTTTACAAGAAGTTATTTATGTACCTTATATGTATGTTGTTTTTTATGTTTGCACATACATTTAATTTGTATGCATTTGTTCAAAACTTTATAAGACAATTTAAACATAGTTTGTTTTAAAAAAAATAACTGAAAATGGTTTATTAGATATTATAATATATTACTAAAAATGTGTTAAATCATTCATCAGAAGTGTAGCACTGAAAATGTTGTAAGCTATTTTTTAGTGCCTCGCGTTTAGCTTCTCCTTTTTTTCTTAAGACACTGTCCGAGTCGATTGAATAAACATTTGGTTCTGCTGCTAGTGTTAATAGTATTTCATTATCCAACTCAATGTAATCTTCCATATCAATGCACATATTGTAATACACAACATGAAATAATAAACTTAGTTATTTTGTCCACATCATGTATATCAACCTGAAGTAGTTGTCTGAACCGCGATTTTAGTAGTCCAAATGAATTTTCAATTAAAACTCTAGTACCACAAAACATTTTGTTAAATTTAATTTGGGTGTCTGTTAAGTTTCCATAATTTTTGTATGGTACTAATAGCCAATTTCTTATACTATAAGCACCATCTCCAATAATATGGTATTTATTTTCGCATATTAAAGGAAGCTCTTTACTAATGTCTGACAGAGCAAATACTCTTGAATCATGGATTTTTCCTGGTGCACCGGTGAATACATCAATAAATTTTTTTTTGTAGTCACATATAGCTTGCAGGGTAATAGATGGCATATCATGCCTATTGGTATATGTACTTTTAAGTTTGTGAGCAGGAGTTCTTATAGGTATTGAAGATCCGTCGATGCACCCGATTACACCAGGAAGTCCAGAAACCTAAATTTAATATGGATTTAGTAAAAATAACCTTATGTAAGGCAAAAAAGCTTAATTTGTATATTTACTTTTTGAAACTCTCGAGATAAATTAACAGTTCCTTCGTTTAAATTTATAATAGTAGCTGAAATATCAACAAGAAAGTCCATAACCCTGTTGTTGATACGAAATTGTGTGGTCAATCCAACACCAAACCGTTCTGACACATCACGTAGGCAACATTTATTTGCAGAAAACCTGAACCATTTTATTTTAATAACTAAAGGATTTAGAATAGTATTTTGTCAATTATAAATTTACAACCTAACCTTTTTTTTAAATCGTTAAGTTAAGTTAATATAGAAACATGTAAGTCAAGTTTAAAGCCTTGGTGATTAGTTTGTTGTGCTCATAACATTTTGTAAGACTTTTGTTTTATTTCACCCCAAATTAAGGAGCTTCAAGAACAGTAAAAAGTAAAAACTGTAATAAAGTAATTAGTGGACTTAATAAAGGCTTGGATTTATGAATATAAACCAGGAAAAAGATAATATAGTGATTTTAGTGAAACTTACTAGGTACTGTATACTAATTTAGTAATTTTAGTACTAAATTAATTATTTTATTCTCGAATAAAGGGTTGTGTATAAAATAACACATAAATTATTTTAAAATAATAATACATATTAATATATTATTTTATAATAATCTTAAATATTATATACAAATATTAGAACATAATTAATAATTATTTATTACTATGTATTTACTAATTTAGCCAGCTTTTTTTTTTTTCATTAAGTTTATTAAGCCCCGTTCACACGATCAAATAATTTGTCAAATATTTGATGTATGTCAAACTTCAAATATTTTAGAAATGGTTCTAAAATATTTTGAGTTTGACGAATGTCAAATATTTGACAAATTATTTGATCGTGTGAACGGGGCTTTACCATTTTTATTTGTTATTAATATAAATTTGTTGATAACATATATACAAACACGTTCGTGGTCACAGATATAGTTGATAAACGTTTATGATATATATCTGATGTATATGATGTATATGTTTAATCGTGGTTCGTGGTATATTTTATTACAAATCAAAATAAGTAATGTGAAAACATATATCTTAGAAATAATATGTACATTTGCTGTATAATATTACAAGTTAAATAGGGTTAGTTAATATCATTAAGGGCCGTTCTTACAATGTCCGGTAAAGTGTCGGTTAACGCTAACCGAACCGTATACCCTCCCCCCACAGTAACAGGCTAATTACCTCAGCTAGTGTTTGAAGCATTTTAATAAAATAAAAACAATAGTAATAATTTTTGCTTTTTTTAATTTTTAAATTTAAGAATTTTGGTAGCATAAATACATGGGGCGCAACACTTGATACTGCCCCGGCCCCCCATTGAACCAAATTTATAGTTACGCCTCTACTGTACCCACGAGTCTGATTCAGTGGCGTATACATAACTTTTGTATGGGGGGGGGGGGATCAGTTGCAAACAAATTATTATGGAACGAAAATACCTAAACCTAGGTATGTGCTCATTTAAATACCTAATAAATGATAAAACATATATATATTCAATACATTTTATTTTAAATTCTACAAGTAATTATAAAACAAAATTTAATTTTCTTTTTTTTTTAGTCAATAATATTTATTATTTAAGCTATTTTTAGCTTTCAATGAACAAATTACTGATAGCTATTAGCTAGTATGTTGTAGGTATATCCATGTTAATTGATAATATACAAAATTGATAATGTTTTGGTATAAATGCGTAAAAACCATCGTGCAATAACCTTATATTATACCATAATAATATTTCTTTTTCAAATGTATAGGAAAATGTATTATTATACGCACGGACATGCGGGCGTCGTCTCCGCCGCGTTGATATCGGTGACGGTGGCGACGGCCCGTGGCTGGTCTGCCACATATTATTATTCTTATAACAATTTATTATACGTCTTGTATATATATTATTATATAATATACATATAATCAAATATCACATAATACGATTATATGAATATGAAATAAATATATGATCACTGATTAATATTAAGTAAATTATTTAATATTTTTAATTAATTGTTGAATATTGTGTTAAAATAAAAATTTACAAAAAATCCTTGACATTTTTTTTCCTTGTAATTTCCTTACATTAAGTCATTAAGAACACTATTTTATAAAATTTAAAAAAAGGCCTTTGGGGGGGGGGATCTGACTCCCACATCCCCCCCTTGTATACGCCCCTGGTCTGATTAGTAACATTGAATACTTATATAGGTTATAATACACCACTTTTCCACCTGTATTCAATGCACATTTATTTAAAATTTCCTTTGAAAACTTATATTTTTTTAATCTTTTATATAAAAATAGTTGGTAAAAATAATAGTTGTATAACCAAACATAATTTAATTTTTTTAAAACGTAAAAATAATAAATATTATTGTTTAATTAGAATAAAAAGTAAGAACATTACACACTATTTTATGTATATTTAAACAATTATAGTATAGATGTTGGTATTTTTTTTTCAAGCAATAATTATAAATTATTTTTTATTAATTAACCCGCGACAAAACAGATCATTGGGTAATTTTTAGAACATGATAAAATTAATTTAGAAAGCTAATAGATGATACACCTGTTAAAAGCTGATGGTATTTTTTTTTACATACATATATATTAGTGGTGGATGGAAAGAATGGGTGCCCGGGTGGATGTGTGGTAGAAGCATAAAAGGCTCGGTCGTGGGCATCATAGGTTGCGGCAACATCGGCACGTCAATCGCTGAAAAGTTGGTCAATTTCAAAGTGTCTCAGCTTTTGTACACCAGTAGAAGTGAAAAACCGGCCGGTAAGTATTTACCTCTACGGCTCTACCGTTTACTTTCTATGCATGTGAATTTATAATCGGGGGCTAAAAGAACGTATCCATTAAATTCAAAGCAGTGATTAATTATGAAGTGTCTTTTCCGTAGTCAAAGCAATCGGTGGACAGTTGGTCACGGTGGACGAGTTGATGGAGCGTAGCGATTTCGTCGTCGTTGCTGCGGCCTTGAACGAAGATACGAAATTTATTGTCAGCAGAGAACGGATCGCCGCCATGAAGTCCAATGCCATATTGGTGAACATCGGTCGCGGACGTTAGTATAGAACTATATACTATGTAATAAACTAATATTATGTATTTATATATAAATAATCTGTATTTTATATCTTTATTATATGTATAGATTGATTTTTCTTTTTGATATTTTTTGATATAATATCATAATATCACTTTACAATATAATAGGTAGGTTAATTACAGCCATTACAGTACTAGTTCACTAGTTACAGTTCCTATACTCAATAACGAGGTACACTCACAACCTACTACCAGGCACGTAGCCAGGGGGGGGCCTGGGTGGGCCGGGCCCACCCTAAATATACTCTGGCCCAAGGCCGGCCCCCCCAAATTCAAAATATAATTATTTTTACCAATTATCAAAAATGTGATTATGCACATTGAGAGAAATCTATTGTGATTACTATTAGGTAATACAATTATTATTGTAATAATTTAATTATTATATTCGGGGAACCGTGGATAACTTTATCTGAAAAAAATACAATATAATAGGGTCTTGATACCCTTTTTAAAAACAATAATATATTAGCCGCAGTTATAAGTCTATGCTAAGTTAGCTTGCGAAAGAACTTTTTCATGTCTGAGACGACTGAAAACCTTTCTGAGGAATCGCATGACAAATGATCGTTTAAATAATTTAGCTTCAATGAGCATAAAAAAAAAATTCTAAAAACTTAGATCTAGATATTTTTGTACAATTGTTTTCGGAAAATCATAAAAACAGAAAAATTATTTTATATTGCACTGTTTAATATTTATATAAGTATAAGTGTATTATTTAATATTTTCTACTAGTATGTGTTTTTTTTTTTTTTTTTTTTAATAAATTTGAGTTTCTTTAAAAATTATATTAACTTAAAAATCGATGATCATTTATCTCTATTATTTTTGATAAGTATTCAAATATGAATTAATTTTTGAAGTTAAACAATTGAAGCAGCTTATTATTTTAAATATGTATGTAGATTTATTTTTCATAGCATGAAAAATGTATCCCATAAGTGAAGATGTAGGTAATTCTATATTTATTTATTTTTTTTGTTATCAGGTACTTTCTATTTTTGTAATTCTTAAATAAGTAAGTATTAGGTATAACTTGTTGTGAAAAAAATAATTTTAACCAATTACCAACTAAAGGTAAATTATTTAAATTAATAAGATTCTTTGTATTGCATACCCCTTACAAGAATTTCATAAAGAAAAATTTTGGAAAGTAATAAAAGGGCCAAACATTATTGGCCCCCCTAGTAGAAATTTTCTGGCTACGTGCCTGCCTACTACCTATAAGTACAGCCAGCGACTTTTCCGCTTTATTTTTATTTAAACGACCATACGAATACAGTTCTCGTCTGATAATTGAAGTAAGCCATTAAAGTCTGCCCTACAACACTGTCGGATGTAGTTAGTTCTTGGATATAGGTGACCACTGACCGCTTGTAAAAACTATGAAGTCACAATGAATTTTTTTTGACCGTTTCAATCTTTCATGTCGCGAAACACCACGGTGTATATACGTAGACACGTAGTGAACTGTATTTTCACAACCTTTTTTTACTATTCTCTAAAAAAAGTGGGTATACTTACGGGGAATTGAGTAGGTACCTTTCAAAACTAAAATAATATTTTTAGCGCATATTTAGCAATAACTAAGGTAATATTATAGCGCTTCTTTATGCAATTTTAAGTAATAAGTGTTATAAACTCCCAACCCTGGTCCCTGGTTATAACTTATAAATTATAAGTAAATACTAAATAGACTTGTGAGCTCACAAAGTTAGGTAGCGCTTAGAACTTTTTTAGTTTTTCTTCAGTTTATGGCGGTTACATTTTTGTTTCTAGGTAAAACAGCTTGAAAATGTAATATTAACATAAACTATCCTTAGAAATAAAGTGCTTATCTATACAAGTACCTACACAACTCCTTCACTCAGATTCATTTTATCGTAAACAATGTTATTATATCTTTGAAATCAAATTTTCAAATCTATTACATTGACATAATAACTATAGAATATTTGAACACTTTCTTGCCCAATGACCAATTTATTTAATTTAAACTCAAAAAATGTTTACAAGTGGGTAATCAAAATATTTTTCTAATAAAAAAAGAAAATGTATAAAATATAACATCTATTTATAGCCATGATTTATATTTTATTTGTCCTTGAATTTCGTAGAGTTGGTTGATCAAGACGCTTTGGTCGAAGCGCTCAGGGAGAAGAGAATCCGAGGCGCTGGGCTGGACGTGATGACTCCCGAACCACTGCCATTGGATCATCCACTGATGGGCCTTGACAACGTTTGTACGTGTACTTAGCTATAATAATAATTATGAATATTTTGTTTTTAAATAAGTTGTAGATTATTACAATTTACAATATTTTCTGTTGTTCTCCGTGAGTATCGGATTATAATTATTATGTCATCTTTATCGGCTTTTATTTTAAAATAATGTCTTCTTTTAGAATGAGCTTTTACTATAGTAATATATTTAATATATTTTATTGTTTATGCATGCCTATTAACATAGAGGTGTAAGTGTTCCTCTTCAATAATTTTTTTCACGTTGTATTTGTAGTGCTCCTGCCACACATCGGCACCGCCACCTTTGAGATGGAGGAAGAGATGGCTATGATGACCACCCAGAACATATTGGCTGTATTGGACGGATGCCCTATGCCGAACGAAGTGTTTTTTTAACGGCTCAGTTATTGTCTAAAATTCTAAGTACAAGACCTAATCATTGTCATACGTTAAAACATTTTAAAATTACAAAATAAAAATTGTATATTTAAAAATTAAATATATCTGTACAATTAAAAATTACATACCTACCTATTTTAACTATTATGAAAAAATAATATCAACTGTTATCTATAGATATAGGCATATAGCTATATATAATATTATACACATAAACTCATTCTGGCGCATATTAGATAGCTGATATGGCGATCATGGCCGTATTTACACGTAGGTCCGTGAGGATTGGGCCTAGGGTGACAATTTTTTTGGGGCGTCAAATTTTGTGAGAAATAAAAAAAAAAATCATATAAATATTTTATGCATTTATGCAACTGCGTAAATTAATATTATATAATATATTTTAATATTATAGTATAGATATCTGTGTGTAAAATATACGGGCGCATGACACTGAAAATGTCAATAACACGAAATCAATTTTCCCTTAATGTGAGCTATAAAGATAAGATACCTACCTAGGTACATAATATAAGTTGTTCCTAAAAGTAATTACGATAATAATATAATATAATATATAGAAATTGGCTAGAGATATTGTGTATCCACATCGCACACGACCACACTTAATTTTAGTTTGTTCGTCATTGTCGGGCAATGCATATTATTACGACAATATATGATAGGTTAAACGGCATCAATACTAGTTACTACACATGGAATCTGAGATGCTTGATGCTTCAAAGTATAAATTATGATGATATAATCGACGATTTCGCGTCTAAAAAAGTTCATCGTAAAATGTTATAGATAACATAGGTATAAGATTAAAAATGTAAACTGCTAATACCTAATTAGAATTTATAATTATTTGTATTATTTATAATGACTATTGACCTAATTTTTTAAAATAAAATAAATTTATTGGAAATAATAACAATATTTTTTTTCTTGGGGTAGGGGTGGCATATTTAAAAGGGCCTAGGGCGGCACTTGTTCTAAATCTGGCCCTCATGGCGATATAGGTATTATATATTATTATAACATCTGTTATAGGCGCATATCATTATAATTAAATGGGCGATACCTGTTTGAGAACATTTACCTTTTTTGAGACTCATTTGCGTGCAAATTCACTACTTGGTAAAATTTAGAACACTATTCTTTAATACCCGCGATAAATGACTCAAACGTAGAATTCGTTTGCTTACCTAAGCTATTGCAAAAATCTACTAAAACTAAAAAAACTTACAAATTAATGATTATAATATATAAATGCTTTGCAAGATGGTTTTCATACATTTTCCTTCTCACTTTTACATGCTTGGGGTTGGGACTGTTTGTCTACAACAGACATGATTGAAAATATCTTTTTTTTTAATTTTTATTTTTTTTTTCATATTTTTATTTGACATAAACAATCTATACTATTTTTAGCACAATAAGTTTATATGATAAAAGTAAAAGTAGAATAACATGAATGTGGCTCTTGACTAATAATAATTTTTTTTTTTTTAATTATTTATTATAATATTTTTTTTTTTTCTAGAGACGTTAGACATTAAAGTTTTGTAAATGTAAAAGGTCATGGCATCACTTTCTTTTTAATCTGCGGTTAGGATTTCCTGGGAGTGTAAGGATGGAAAGATCTTTTATGAGAGGGTCTGGATAGGCTTTTTTTGAATTGAATTTAAATTAATTTGTTATGTTAGTTTGTTTGTTATGTTTGTATTTTCTGTATCTGTTGTATCTGCATGAGTTAAATTTAACAAAATATCTTCCATATTTTGTAAATCACGACGTAGGTATCAATTTATTGAAAGCCAGAAAGCATGAACTACTACAATTCTCTTTTGGGATAGAGTATATAGCACGATGTAGAGAAGATCTTCTCTACATCGTGGAGTATAGTTAAGGCGATGCCCGAATTTTAGGTACATAAGTTTCAAAAATAAATATTAATATTCTTAAAAGGCGCAGTAAACTAGACTAGAGTGATGTGTGAATGCGTAAAAATCTCAAAATAGTGAACTTCATTAGGCCATACCTTCGAAACTAAGTCCGATTGACAAAACCACAGTTTAAAAAAAAAAAAGGTGGGTAAGTGGATGTCGCTCTGCTGTACAGTAGGTTACAAGTGGGTCTCTGTATAATGGATGCTATTAAATTTTAATTCAATGATACAATATCATTGTATAAGAAAAACGATTCTGAGCGAAGACGGTATGTCAGTCTAGGTTTAAGACAAATTATATACATATCTATGGTATTAAAAAAAAAATTGACCTATAATAAATTCCAAATTAATCATATCACATTATCACAATATCCATTAGGTACTTATAACACGTTATACATCAACATCAATAACAAACCCTGATACTATCATAGATATATAATAGTACACTTTAGAAGTTTCAAGTAGGTACCCACGAATAATATTATATAATCACAACAAAATAACTAGGTTTTTTAATATGTAATTTCGTCCAAATTTGAACATAAAATGACTATAAAATAAACTGTGATTGTATATTTTTTAGATTTTTCGGTAAGAGAATTAACTACTTACGTGGAATCTTGTTTTAAATTTTCAATCCTTAGCTATAAAAACTGAACATTTTATAATTTATTAATTACGATGATTAATAATTTTCGAGATTTTGAAAAATTCTGTCAAAATTCGATGTTAAAATGCTTATAAAAAAAAATTGTGCCTATGTATTTTTAATATTTTTCAACTGATATTGTAACAATATATCAGGAGCCTTGTATTAAATTTTTACACTTTTTGGCCCAACAGATAAAACTTAATTGATATTTATAGAAAAAAAAAACTAAAAAAATTGAAAACTGAAAATATCCATAAACAGCTCAAAAAGAGTCAAAATATTTTCAAAATTGTATGGTGTATAGGAAATGCTAATATAAACATTCAGTGAAATTTTCATGTATCTATAGTTATTCGTTTATGAATAACAACAAAATAAGGAAATCACTACATGAGAAATCGAGTGAACATCCAATGTTGTAAAAATTTGAATTTCAAACGCTCATAAAAATTTGATTTGACTGTCCGGTAGAGATTTTTTTATTGATAAAGGTAGACAAACTCATGAGTAATCTTGTATTACATTTTCAAACCTTAGATTTAAAAAGAAAAATTTTTACGAATTCTTAACTCAAAATAATTTGCTAATTTTCGTGATTTTTCCATATTTTGTCAATTTTTGAACTTTAAATGCTTATAAAAAAAAACTGTGACTAACGATTTTTAATATTTTTCATCTGCCTTTGAAACAATACACTAGGAGCCTTCTATTAAATTTTCAAGTTTTTTTAACCAACAAATAAAATTTTATTGATATTTCTAGAAAAAAAAACTAAAAAAAAAAGAAAATGAAAATGTCCCTAAACAGTTCAAAATAAATCAAAATATTTTGAAAATGTTATCGTGTATAGAAAATGCAAATATAAACAACCAGTGAAAATTTCATGTATCTACGGTCATTTGTTTTAAAGTTACACCAAAAACCAAATTCAATTTTCTGAAAAATCGATTTTGCGTGAAAATTCCCGTTTTTTCTTAATTTTTCTTTTATTTTTCTTGGCGCTTTTGAAAAGTACTGGGACCTCCCCAATTGACCTCTCTTATGCACCAACGATGTTCACTTTCCAATCGAACAAGATACTGAAGTCGAAAATCGAAGCATTATTTCGACTACTTATCGTGTACACAGACACAAAAATAAAAAATAAAAAAAACACACATCATTGTAAAATCAATACATTCATCGTTTCACTCAGAATCTAAATTAAAAAGGTGGGTAAGTGGATGTCGCTCTGCTGTACAGTAGGTTACAAGTGGGTCACTGTATAATGGATGCTATTAAATTTGAATTCAATGATTCAATATCATTGTATAAGAAAAACGATTCTGAGCGAAGACGGTATATCAGTCTAGGTTTAAGACAAATTATATACATATCTATGGTATTAAAAAAAAAATTGACCTAAAATAAATTCCAAATTAATCATATCACAATATCCATTATGTACTTATAACACGTTATACACCAACAACAAACCCTGATACTATCATATATATATAATAGTACACTTTAGAAGTTTCAAGTAGGTACCCACGAATAATATTATATAATCACAACAAAATAACTAGGTTTTTTAATATGTAATTTCGTCCAAATTTGAACATAAAATGACTATAAAAGTAAACTGTGATTGTATATTTTTTAGATTTTTCGGTAAGAGAATTAACTACTTACGTGGAATCTTGTTTTAAATTTTCAATCCTTAGCTATAAAAACTGAACATTTTATAATTTATTAATTACGATGATTAATAATTTTCGAGATTTTGAAAAATTCTATCAAAATTCGATGTTAAAATGCTTATAAAAAAAAATTGTGCCTATGTATTTTTAATATTTTTCAACTGATATTGTAACAATATATCAGGAGCCTTGTATTAAATTTTTACACTTTTTGGCCCAACAGATAAAACTTAATTGATATTTATAGAAAAAAAAAACTAAAAAAATTGAAAACTGAAAATGTCCGTAAACGGCTCAAAAAGAGTCAAAATATTTTCAAAATTGTATGGTGTATAGGAAATGCTAATATAAACATTCAGTGAAATTTTCATGTATCTACAGTAATTCGTTTTTTAATTACAACAAAAAAAGGAAATTGCCACATGAGAAATCGAGTGAATATCCAATGTTGTAAAAATTTGAATTTCAAACGCTCATAAAAATGTAATTTGACTTTCCGGTAGAGATTTTTTTATTGATAAAGGTAGACAAACTCATGAGTAATCTTGTATTACATTTTCAAACCTTAGATTTAAAAAGAAAAATTTTTACGAATTCTTAACTCAAAATAATTTGCTAATTTTCGTGATTTTTCCATATTTTGTCAATTTTTGAACTTTAAATGCTTATAAAAAAAACTGTGACTAACGATTTTTAATATTTTTCATCTGCCTTTGAAACAATACACTAGGAGCCTTCTATTAAATTTTCAAGCTTTCGCAACCAACAAATAAAATTTTATTGAAATTTTTAGAAAAAAAACTAAAAAAAAATGGAAAATGAAAATGTCCCTAAACAGTTCAAAATAAATCAAAATATTTTGAAAATGTTATCGTGTATAGAAAATGCAAATATAAACAACCAGTGAAAATTTCATGTATATACGTTCATTTGTTTTAGAGTTACACCAATAACCAAAATCGATTTTTTGGAAAATCAATTTTGTGTAAAAATTCCCGTTTTTCCTTAATTTTTATGTTGTTTTTCCCGGCGCTTGTGAAAACTACTGGGAAATTTAAATTTTGACCTCCCCAATGCACCAACGATATTCACTTTCCAATCGAACAAGATACTGAAGTCGAAAATCGAAGCATTATTTCGACTACTTATCGTGTACACAGATACAAAAAAAATAAAAAAATTAAAAAATTAAAAAATAAAAAAAATAAAAAAATAAAAAAACACACATCATTGTAAAATCAATACATTCATCGTTTCACTCAGAATCTAAAATATTCAATAATTAAAATTATTATTATTATTGTAAGTATTTTTTTTTTTTAAATGCTTGTTATGAAAAAAATTTAGTTGTTGAAGTTTTTTCATCAATAACTTCAAAAAGAAATTTGTTCTTGACTTTTTTTACATTCTTATAAAGCAAGGAGCACCCTTAATGTTTTATGTAGTTTTTCAAATAATTTTCAAAATCGATACGTAAGAACAAAAATTATTTTACCTCCAAAAATATACTATCAACCACGGTCCAAGACCGTGCTATCAACTTTGATCTACTATCAACAACATGGTTGTCATGAAGCACGGACTACTACACTGGACTGGAAATGAGATGTTTACCTCTCTTGAAGGGTGTCATGACGACAGACGATGTGTGATAACTACAAAAAACTTGAATTACCGAAAGTAAGGCTCTACATAGTACCGAAAGTTTCAATCCTATTAAATAATTGCTTATTTTTATATATTTTTTTAATCTAAACATTTTGAATTTCGGGTAAATAGGAACATGCCAACCGTGTATACAAGCCAGATAGTTATTTTAAATAAATACAATTTAATAAATTCTGTAATTATTTAATTTGAACGGTTTTTAAAAAAAAAATGTTTTATAAAAATAAGTTTTGTATTTAGGCAATTATAACAATTGTTATCTTGTATTCTTATTGTACTCGGTGAGACCTAAATGTTGATGTACTTGGAAGCGTTGTGCATAGTTTAGATCAAGAGATGTAACAGCTAAAATGTGTAAAACTGTTTCTGTTCACCCACAATTACGGTAGGTTTTTACTTATTGTACATAGCTTCACATAAAAGTCTGCTTCAACTGCATTCACAGATACTACTCTTTATTACTTAGGTAGGTACAAATTTGAGTTCTTAGACCTTAGTATATTCTTAGAATTGATTAATTGGCAAAAAATATCTATTCTTTTTTTTCTTGTTCTTTATAGTTAATAATAATGATAAAAATTATTTAATAATATGGCAAAGCAGATAATATTAAGTAGAAATTCTGTATATCCATGTTAGTTACTTATTTATTAGTGTTCTAAGTAGTTCATAATGATTAATAATAATAATATAATGTATTTTAATGACAATTTTATATTTATTTTTTATGTGGAGCATGTAAATACACAAAGTATATCACTTTTTTTGTTCAATAGAGATATCAAAAATATTCCCAAAAACAAAATATGGAAGAAGAAGAAGATTTTAAATTCAAAGTGGGTACTTATTTGATTGTTAAGTTTAACAAAATCTTTTTTTAACAGTAAAGAATGATTATTAATAATTGTTTACTAAGTTGCCTATATACATAGAGACCTGTGGTGTAGCCATGGAGAGGGCCATTTTCCATGCCTCCCCCCATTTGACCATATGGGTGTATCAAAACATTGAAACAACAAAAATAAATTATTATTGTTAATTGTTGAGTATTTTTTTTTAATAAAAATAACAAAGCCTAATATTTTGGCTTTGCTCCCACCCATTTTCAAACCTGACTTCGCCATTGATAGAGATACAAACTTGCATATTGGTATGCACTTCAATAATCTACAATCTACTAATATTGTAAACTCAGTTAATTTAAAAAAAAAAAACAATTTTTGTTAGAATAATATGATTTTCAAATTAAGTAGATACATTGACATTTTTTAATTTGACCAGTTTTATGTTATATTTTTAATTTTAATTATTTCTGCATTATTTTAACTATTATTATTCAATCATTATTGTTTCAGTTTAATTCTGAAGAAGATTTTAATAGAGCTTACAAAAAAGTCATTCGCCGTCGACAAAAACAAATGGATGATCAACATTGGAACAATTATATGGAATCAATTAATGATGATACAGACTCTAAAAAAACATTCACTATTGAAAAGAATACAGAAGTTAAACAAAGTAAACACTCATTTAATAAAGGCAGTAACAGCCACTTTAGTACAGATGATTCAGTAAATGTACACTCATTGCATGATCCTTCTGATCTTAATAATATTCATGGACTTAGAAAGTAATTACTACAATAATATTATAATATTTTAATATTAATTAATCAATTTTAACTCCATTATTTATTTTGTTTTTGTTACAGCCGTTTGTTTATTACATTTAATGAATTTTCTAAAATATTAGAAAATGCACTTTCACCACCCGTTTTAAAAAGTGCTAAAAAAAAACAAATTAAAATTAAAGAATGTGATCAACTACCGAATAATTATATAAGTGATCTCAATTCACTGGTAAATAATTAAAATTTACTTATGATTTACTTTGATATTCGATGTACTTATGTACCTTTGTACCTATTAATTATTAAATAATAATAGTTTAAAGTTAGATTTTAACTGTAAATATTGTAATGTCTGATTAAATATTTGACTTAAAAAGAAAAATACTGACAAATATAAGTAACTATAATTAATGTTAATATAATAATGGTTTTAAAGAGGAAGAGCCTAGGATGCAATTAAAATTAGTGAATAGTGGTATGCATCCACCACTGTGGTTAAAAATATAAATTATTGTACCTATATTGAATGTTTACAATAATACACAATAATATTTAAATATTAAGTAAAACACCTTTTTCCTGCTTTGCTATTACATCCTTCTTTATTTTACTGTTGAAGATATTTCAAGAAACTATTTCTGAATATTGTGTTAACAATTTTTGGCATAAATGTAGAGCCCATTTTTCAATTATTTTTTTTTTCAAAATTGTGTTATAACTTATAAGGCACTGAATCCAGTGGCGTGGCATGGCAGATTTTTTTTAGCCGCGGCTCCGTTGATTTTTAGGGGTGGTGGTGGTAGATTTATAAAATATATTATGAACTTGAGAGTCGAGATATCAGTAAATTTTGGTATACGTCCTGTTGTGGGCGAGTGGGTGGTTAGTTAAAATATATTTGGTTCCTTTAATTAAAACTGTTCACCATGCCACTGACTGAATCTAAAAGTGTTAGATTAAATAACTTAATACACATTTTGAAAATTTTAAATCGTGAATTTTGTTCCTTGCATGTTGCATAACACTGGTGGTCAGAAACTTGAAATATGAGTTCCAATCAAAACGTATGAATAAAAAAACACTAATATACACAATAATTTAAACATATTTTGGGTGAAATTAAATGTTGTGATCTAACAGAAAATTTGTTGTCAAAAGTTGCCTTTAAATTTAATATAAAAAGTCATTAAATATTTAATTTTTTTTATGGGTGCATGGTCATTCCTCTTGCAGCTGCCTTTATATAAGTGGAGAGGCTCTATATGTTTTATATCATATCTTTTATAGTGATTTAATTATCTGAGAGTAATAAATTCCTGTAAATCCATAATTGCTTAAAAAACTTTATGCCCGGTGCCACTGATCGCTGTAAATTGTTGATCCTTTTCGGCTTTTCTTTTGGTGATTGGCAGAAATATTTGTTTATATATATTTACCTATTCTACAACAAAGTTAAAAAATTATCAAGTAATCCCTATTTGTCAGTAGATCAGAATTTGTGATGTTGTCTTTCCATCATATCTTTAACTATTATGATATTTTTAATTGAAAATTGTATTTCAGCTCTCTGAAATTAAAAAAGAATCAAAAAATGAAGACCTGCATGGTAAAAAAAATAGAAACAATGTCACTTTAAGAAAAAGCTTTCAAATTAAGTTAATTAAATGCTATAAATTAGCAATTAATGCCCTAAAGGTATTTATAAATACATTTAATTAAATTAATATATATTTTAATGTTCTTTACTTCTCTAAGGAATGTTCAAAAACCTTAGAAGCTGGAATTTATAACCCTATCCAAAGTAAAATGAAAAATTTGATCCAAATTATATCAACTTTATCACTTACTGCCGGAAAATATATATATGGTGAATTATATAAGAAAAGAAAGAAAGAAAGTTTTGTACGTAATACTTTGATTAAATTTGTATTGTCATTATCACAATTACAGACGACATAAATATATTTAGAATAATTTAAACTTAATGGTTTTAGGATTTAGTTCAACATTGCAAAGATTTAAATAATATGTTGGAGGAATCTGGTTATAAAGACACAGACAATGACAATCATAGTAATAATATGGATAACAATATACTGAATGAGCTTTCTAAGATAGCTTTAAGTAAACCTGCTAAAACCCAATCTTTTGCGGCCAACTCAAATCGATTAAGTATGTATAGTCAAGATAAACCAAAATTAGGATCAGATTATGCTCAGGGATGGTCAAAAAATTCATTTGAATTAAGAAGAAATAAAGTTTTATCAAAAAAAGACAATTTCATAAAAACGGAAAATAATTTAGACAATGTCAAAACTGTAATGGAAGAATATCCCTTCGTAGAATCGAATGTAAGACTTATATTATATATTATGCTATTATTATGAGTTTTTATAGAGCCTAATTTTATTTTAGGAAACAAACAATAAATTGTTTATTAAAGAGATACAAGATGAAAAAATAATTGATACTATTGAAGCAATTAAATTTCCAACAGCTTCAAAAGTATTAAAGTATGTACATATAATTTAAAATCATTTGATGCATATTATAATATAATAGTACACAAAATATAATTATATCACCTCTTAAATATTTTTATATTATATACCAGGGAATAGTTGCCAGAAAGGTGTTTTATGTGTTAAAAAACCTCCCTTTGGCCATATTTATACAAAAAACATTGTATGTACTACATGATTCAGATTTCTTCAAAATATGTTTTCTAATCGTTCAATTTTATATTTGATATTATCAATACAAAGATTGATGATTACAATGGAGAATGTGTAAATCCACATATATATTGTTAAATAAAATTAAAATACACCTGGCTCCTAAAATAAAATTCTGGTATAGTGGTATGTGCTATACTTTGTCCCACGAAAGAACATGCCGGTTCTGCTCATCCCCCTACCTCACCCTGCTATCTAAACTGGTTTTGCTCGGGGGAACCAGTTTTGGTCGGTGCGCGGCATGGTCTCTCATGGGACAGAGTATAGCAGCGCATCCGCACCGGGCGGAAATTGTAAGTGGATAGTTAGGGGTGACATTTTGACCACAGATATGGGCATATTTTTGTAACATTGCAACAATCAGCAAAATACCTAAAACCAGCCCTGCTTATAGGGCATATCGCATATACTATATACCACATCTATATTTTCAATTTTTTTAGTAGGTATCTAATGTCAAAACTAATCATATCGGTGTCTAATATTGAATATAATATATTTTTTTAATTAATAATTTATATGAAATTGTAATTATATGTAATATGTATTGTGTTCTGATTATAGGACAATTTATTTTAATAGCACATTTAGCCATGTTAAGAAATTTACTTTAAACATAATTTACATATTATAAGTTAGTTAGCTTATCTGGTATCCCTTATGAATATTGTGATTATAATTTAAATCAATTAATAAATGTTTCAGGTCAGATAACAGTAAAAGGTCAGAAAACAGTAATGTTGGTCTATACTATGTGAGACATAACCCTTGGAAAAATTTTCCTATTAAAAGTACTAAATTATTTAAATTTATATTTCATAAAGAGGTATTCTAACCAAAAATATAAAACATATTATGTAACAAATTACATTATTATTACCCTATAGTTAATAAAATAAATTTACTAAATAATAAATCAATCTATTATTAATTTTATGTTATTCAGATATAAGGCTCTCTAAGGATAATGAACGAATTCTTTTAAACATATCTCAGAACGACGCAGAGGAATCTCATTCAGATCGAAGAAAATTTAAAGAATATATATTGAGAACAGAACGGGATAATAATATTGTATCCAAGTAAATATATTTATAATTTGTATTTTATAATATATAGGTACCTATGTAGTGGAGAAGATATCTTCTCTGTATTGTAAATATACCAAAGTAAATGATTGTATTTTTTGGTTACATTTACTAAAAAGGTATTAGAAGCTACGTCAACGTTAGTTATTTTTGTGTTACACACAAGAAACATAGTTATTTTATATATAAGAACATTAACTGCTTGTAGGTGATTCTTTAAAACTTATTTTTAAATAAGTTAAGTTAATATTTTTCTGTTTATTAAATTTAAACTTTTAGACTTAAATATATTGTTATTTGTTAACTATTAAGAGGGCGTGTACCCGCATTGTCTCTGTCTTAAAAAAGTACAACATTGAACATAGCAAGAAACTTTTTTGCGTGGGATAGAACTCCCGTGGTATTTACAGTAGAATTACCAAAATTCCACAACGCATAAGGAACAACTTTATCTATGTCGTAGCGTTTTTATTATTTGGATAACATAAATAAAATTAAAGTTATCAGTTTGAGAACATTGGGATTTTTTTCATTTAATTATTAAAAATTATTGGTAAATGCTATAAAAAAATATAAACGCTACGACACGGATAAAGTTGTTCCCTATGAGTTGTGGAATTTTTGTAATTATACCATAAATACCAAGGAAGTGGTTCTATCCCACTCAAAACAGTTTTTTGCTATGTTGTATATTTGTAAGACAGAGACAACGCATAAGGGTATCACCTCCTCTTAACATAGGTATCCATAATACCTTAAATTTTTTAATTTTGACATGACACACGTTATTTCGGTTCTCTAAAGTAAATTATTTTCAATTTGTATTTATTAATTTATAAATATTTGTGTTTGATAAATCTACCTAAAAAAATTATATAATAATATAATAAAAGTATGGTAGCTATCAAAATATAAGATATAATATTCTATAAACGTATTTAATAGGTAGGTAATTAAAAAGAGTTATAAATTGTTTACAGGTTATTATTTAATCATTGTATTTATTTCTAAATCATCATTATTCAAAATTATTTTTTTAATCATTGTATTTATTTTATTGTACCTATTTATTTTATACAAACTAATGATTTTTTTCTTTATTTTTTTCTTTTAAGGATTACAGAATTAGTTTTACAAGACCTCGTAAATGAAGTGTTAACAAAAATATTTGATGCAATAATATTTGAAACAATAAGAAGGGAATTCATTGAATAAAATATGACATATTTTATACAATGAATTCCACATTGTATTGTATAAAGTTGTTTTTTCTTTGTTATCTTTCGGCTCAATAAAACAAAATTGTTATAAACAAAATTTTGTTTCTTTTTTTCTTATTAATAGTTTATTTGTATTTTTATTATTTCAACAGATTAATGGGCTCCACTGAACGCACTCTTCTGATGGCCCATGAAAAGTTAAAAACAATGTTTTTGTTACGTATCAAATTTCAATAAAATAATGTACCTATTGAGATATTTGATCACATGAATGTATTAATAGTTAACCGGTCTACCTGTACCCTTATGAGATGTGAACAGAGGTATATCGTACATAATAATATAATATACATTTAAAAATCGGGCTGATAATTTTTCTGGTAATAATATTTTGCAATAATGAAAATTTACATACTAGGTATTCAAATACCATTTTAGTACTTAATTACTTTTTTGAAAATCAAGGTACTACTAATATTGAAGAGTTTAAAACTATATAATAATGATCTGTATTATTCAAGAGCGTATGACCTAAATAATCGTCATTTGTCAAGATGTTATATTTATCGGTTTTGCCTTGATACAGTATACTATAGGGCTGAAATGTCAATGACAATTCTGGAAGTGCTGCATTCTGCAGCAACAGGTGTCATCCCTGCCGTGTTTGCCGACGAAATCTAATTAAGTTTAATGATATTTTTACTACTTTAAATCTTCCAATAGTCGTCTACCTCAGGGAGCTATGTAGTGAGAGAAGGAGGACACCACCAGTTACGGACTTTCACTTACAGGAACTGTATTACAGCCTTTTAAAATTTTAGTAATAGTACAGCAATGATTTTGGTGCAGGGGCGGCGCTACACTGGGGCCAAGGGGGCCAAGTGCCCTCTAACATTTGATTTTGACCCTCCTATAATTTAATGTTGATCATTTTAATCTAATCTGAAAATGCATTTTATTAAATACTATAATATATAATATAATACTATCCTAATAATTTGTAATTATTTATGTTAATTTAATACATTTAACTAATGGTACGTTGATATTTAAATATAATCATAATAATAAAATAAAATAAATAATGCTAACATAATAAATTGCATTTATTGATTTTTATTAGGGTTCCGTAGGCAAATGGCAAAAAACGGAACCATTATGGATTCGTCCTGTCTATCTGTCCGTCCGTATGTCACAGCCACTTTTTTCCGAAACTATAAGAACTATGCTGTTGAAACTTAGTATTTTCACACAAAAAAAATAATTATAATTCGCGCGTGCGTGGCTTGATCGGTAGCGGGTGCAGGGAGCGGGTTCCCGACTGTGCTTACGGGTAATATTATTATAATATTAGATAAGACTTCTGCTGGACCTGGTGGTGGGGCCAAAGTTCGTGCCGGCCGAACGAAACGACTTATTATTTATGTTACTTGCTGCTACGGAACCCTTCATGGGCTAGTCCGACTCGCACTTGACCGTTTTTTTTTTATAGGTAATACCAATATGTTGCTATCTAGATAGGTACTTAAAAATCACTCTTTGTGACTGTATTTGTTTAATTGCAATGAACAAAAAATATGAATGTGCATAATATATTAATATAACACAATCGTATGTCATAAGTCATACAACCTTATTACAAGTTTTTATAAAACATATTATACCTAACTTATAAGTACTTTAGGTTCTATGATATAACCTTATACCTACTTTGGATTCTATTATGTTAAAAATATGTAAGTAAATAAAGACATTTTATTAATTATGTAATTATTAAAATTTTTTTTTAAATTATTTAGAAATATACCATATTATACAAAAACATTTTTAGCAAGTACTTTCTGAATATATAAATGATATAAGCATAATAGTGGGTGATCGAGTAGGGATACATAAATGCCCCACCAGGAAGAAATTTGCCACCCAATAAAAATTATCTACCTTTAAAACCTAAAATGGGACAAATAAATGGTTCAATTATGATTAAAAATAATATATAGGTAGATAATAAAATAAACAAATAAATTGAAATGTAAAACCAGTACTAATGGCTAATAGGCAATAACAATACATATTGCAGCATTTATATTTTATTGCTTAATAACTTTATTATATAAATGGAAATATAGAATAAATATATAATTTGCTGATGGAAAAATTAGTACTTAAATATTTAAATATTATATTTTTTTAAATAATGAAGAGAAAATATTAGAGAAAAATACAATTATACCTATATGCTATAATATACCTATATGCCTAACAAATTATTACATTGAGTTATCATTTAGCGTGTTCTGGGTATATGTTAGGTCTGGTGGAATATTTGATCTCGTGTCACTGGATTTCTATCCTGCTGTGCATTTTGAATTACATTCGCTGCTTTAAACTGGCTTTCAACACTATAGTATAATTAAGAAAAAAAATTTAAATGAAATAAAAATATAAAATTCATACATGTCAATACTAACAAATTGATCCTTGGGTTGTAATAATTATTCAACTCCGAAAATGAAGGATTGCCTTGTACAATCTACAAAATAATAGTTATATCATTATATTTTTTTTAGCAAAAGTTTTATTCATTGAGAACATTTACTTCGCCACTCGTTTCGTGATGTTTTTGTGTTTCAGGACGTCCTAACATGGGTTGACAAGTACATGGTGATGTTAATGTTCTATACAAAATCAAAAAGATATAAATTTAAATTTTTTTTAAAAACTTGTACAAATTTATGTCATTTAAAAATATGTAAGATTGTAGTAGGTATTTTACCCATTTCCGCCATCGTTATGGCTCCTTTCGTTGACTATGGACACAATTTTTTATTTCATTAATATTTTTTTTCCATTCGGTAAATTCAAAAAAATTGTTTATGAAATGTATATTATGTAATATATAAGTTGAATTCTCACATGCATCATCGAAAAACTCCTCATAGACTATGAAATAGTTTCCCTGGTTTACTAGTTTAGACAATTGAAAATGTTTCCACATAAACTCTAATAGGTTTTTAGTCGGATTTTCTATAGCCAAATTTTTGGCACGTAAATGCATATCCTATAAAAAAATATAAAACAAAAATTTTAGTTTTTTGAATACAAAAATCGATTTTATATAAATACAAATATGGTACTTGTTTGTTATTGCTCCATCTCACCATCAACGTAATATATTTATCGCCCTAGGTGAATCTATAATTGGGTGAGACCGTTTTCGACCAAAAACGTGTCCTACCTTTTTGGCCGATTCACTTATCGGTATAAAGAGTTCAATAATAATTAATTTTATATACATTAGTTCTTAATGTTATACTTATAGAAAATATATTATACCTAAGTTATATATTAAAATATATAAATAAATAATAGGTAATATAAAATTGTTGTCAACAATTTATTATTAAATATAAAAGTAATACCTATGTGTAATATATTAACTTAATATTATTAAGTAATAAAATAATACCTATATAATATTTGTAAAATTATTGCAAATAAAGTTTTGAAAATTATTAAAAGTATTAGTTGCAAAAATTTGTAAGATATATAAATAAAATATAATAATAGTTATAATAGGTATAGGTTTATAATATAATATAACTATTGACAAATTCTAACTTATACATTTAATAATTTTCAAAATTATATTTTATTTCAATTTTTAATATGTTATACACAATACTATTATATTATTTAATAATTATTGACCAATTCTTATATTATTATTTATTTATATATTTTTTATACAACTTAGGTATAATATATATTTAGTCATTTTCTGTAAGTATAACATAAGTCATAAAGACCTAAAGTATATAATACTAATTATTATTGAACTTTTTGTTTTGGCCGAAAAGGGAATGGTACGATTTTGGTTGAAAACGGCGATGCCCCTTTAATTTTATCTGATTGTCGAGTGCCTACAAAAAGTTACAAGTTGGATTCCAACATGACATTAACCGATAACGGTTTCCTTATTATTATTTTATACATTTTGTTGATGCAGCCTAGGGTTACACTCAGTGGCCCAAATAGAAAAAAATTTTGGGGGGTTTACAATGTTACATTATTACAATATATATACATAAAATACTTTTATTAAGTTTTTTTTTTAAATAGAATAATAATAATATTTTATTTTTATTCAATACAATTATGTACTTTTAGTATTATTATATAAACATCGAAACTATACGTCTTATGTTAACTAATAATACATTAAAAAAACATACATTTATTATTAATTTTTGTTTTAAACTAAATAATAACGAGCTCGTGACTGTGGTAGTCTAGTGGAGGAGCAATCACAAACAAGAACTAAAATGATTTAACATAATTTACAAAAAATATGTCATCGTAGTTACCTGTAGCATGTAATCGATCAGATATTTTCCATAACCCTTATGCTGTCTAGATTCGTGGACGTAGAAATCCAACAAACAGTAGACCATTGTTTCTTTACACGATCCTACAGCCTTGTTGTAGAGACATAATTTTTTCCATCCCGTCTTTAAAATGCCAACAACAACAAAATTCCTTGACAACAAATACAATTGTTACAATAAAAATATATAATACAATGTAAAATGTGTTGTTTTATACATGCGTCATGCACTATTATGCACACGCAAATTCCTGAAATATGAACATTATATAATATATTAGTTATATTATAGAAAATGGCAACTAAACAATATTAACACATTTATAAAAAAAAATGATTGACCCCTCTATATAAACACAATAATAACTCTATTTGTTCAATTAATTATTTTCTAATCATACAAAATTGATTAAGTATCACAAAACATATATACCTAAGAGCCCAACGTACCTACATAACGGCCACCGGGTAATCTATATATAAAGTGGTTAAGGGGGCTGGAGCGTAGTCCATTCTAAGGAGTAAAAACTAGGCAATTTATATTGCAGTGCATATGGGTCCATGTCAATGTGTTGGAAGTAAATGAACATTAGTGTGTGTAATTCGTAATTGTGTACTCTCCGAACTCACTATCCGTTCAAAAACTGGCCATTGTCATTAGACATGCTGCAATTCACCGAATTTACAATAACTATTACCTAATTACGATAACATAATAATAATATTATTGCACTTAATTAAATGGTAATAAATAATAGATAATACTTCATAGTAAATTGTTTTTTTTAATTACTGCACTACATAGGTATACTTAATTTCCTCCAACCTTGAACTTCAAATAATTGTAAAAAAAAACTGTTTTTATATATTTTTTAAATTTGTTGGTTACAGTATGAACTACTTACGTAGAATCTTATTTTAAATTTTTAAATATATTTTTTCCTTAGCTATAATCATAATGAATATTATAATACCACGGAAATAAAACCTATTACCTATACCTTTATATAATATATTCTGTACATAACATTACAATAGGTACTAATAAATAATAATCATTAAATAATTGTGTGTGATTCCCCGAATAATACCGATTACGTTGTATAGGGGCATCATAGTGACCGGATATGTACGGCTGTGATTATACCTACGCGCATGCACATGTCAACCACATATTGGCTTATAAAATTAATAACATTTTTTTTTTCAAAAAATACGGCCAATGACTTCAATCACTACGCTTAGTAGAATGTTCCGATTTAAATTTAGAAAGCAGATTTGAATTCTCCTCTAAATTTACTATGCTTTGACTGTCGTATACATTTTTCATATTCAATATCAATGGATTTAAATTTGTATTATAAAAATGATCAATTTTTACTCTTTTTGTTAGTAAATTCCTAAGTAAAAAAAAATAAAAATCAGAAAAATAAAATTGTCAAAGCATAGATAATTTAGTGACGAATTCAAATCTGCTTTCAAAATTAAAATCAAAACATTATATTGGGCGTAGTGATTGAAGTCGTGAACTATGTTTTTGACCGAAAATGAATCACGCTCCAGCCCCCTTAAGTTAAGATATAGTTAAATAGACGCACAATATGTAAGTAGGTGTAAAAATCAAAACTAAGACCATAGACGTCCGTGTAGTGGCGGAGGGTTATCTGCACCTAGCACTTTATGCTTAAAAATTTTCAGCAAATATTTTCTAAATAATTAAAAATAAAGTTTTTAAAATTTTTAAATGTGGTTTTTTCTACACAAGTTACGTGCATACAGGTGGAACCGTGTATTTTGACCCAGTTAAATTTTAACCCCCTGTAAATATTCACTAGCGAAATTTTACCGGGGGTAAATAATCACTATTAAAATATCACTAGCGAAAATTTTACCTCCCCGTAAAAATTCACTAGATCAAATTCATATATTTATTATTTACACTATTAAAATGTTTTTATATTAATTAATCTTTTACCTTAACTCTCGATCACCGAAATTTGGAAGTGTCCGCTATTGAGAGGTGTCCGTTAAAGGGATGTTTCACTGTATAGTTATTTTTAAGACAATACAATATAGACAAATACAATTAAGGAATACAAATAAGAGAATAAAATATCAATTATACTGTTATATTATATAGCTATATATTATAGCTTAAAATATAATCATACATACAGTAAGTATATTGAAAATTCCAATGACAAATAATAAGATACGTAATGGCGAAATGTTTCAAATCTATGAATAATATGTTTTGAATTACATATTTGGTAAAAATTTCAAGTACCTTAAAATCTCTAAACGCACGCTCGGACAACTCTCTGCAATAGCGAATACCTCCAAAACGACGAAATTTTGGTGACCGAGAGTTTCAGGTATTTAGAGGTTTCACATTTTTATTTGAAATCAAGAATAATTAATTTTAATTTTTAACTCTTAAGTGCATTTCTAAATTGCTAAATTTACTACTATAAAAAAAAACAATATTATCAAAAACAATATAGAAAAATAACGTTTTTAAAAACGTTAATCAAAAACGAAAACGAAAAAATTAAAAACATTTTCTATCCCTGATTTAAACTGATTCATAACATTCTTGTATAGTTTAAATAAAAAGAACAATAAATATGACTTGAATCGATTATTTGATATTATCAACTATATTACTATCAATATTATTAGATTCTGAGCGGAGTGAGGGTTCTATTGGTTTTTCAATATTGTTTATATTTATTTTTATTTTATCCTGCATACAAAATTTCTACCAGAAGGAGTTCTTCGCTTTTAACAAATAGTATATCTTTTCTTTGTAGCAAATTTTATCAAGATGGTACTTTAGAGAGGTAATTTTTCAATTTTCTCAATATTTATTTAATGACACATTACAATTTCAATGACAAATTTCAAAAACCGCTAAAAATGTGATTTCAATTTCTAACACTTTGTTTATCACCATAGTAACAAATAAAATAAAAATAATGATTTTAGTTATTTTATCGTAATTTATAATATTAATTCAACTTACAGGCTATAATAAAATATAATTACAATATAAACAAGAGACTGACAAACCGTCTCCCACTCAGAATCGTTTTTCGTATACAATGATATGATTTCATTGAATTCAAATTTAATACAATCCATTATACAGTGACCAACTATTGTAATCTACTGTACAGCAGAGCGACATCCACTTACCCGCTTTTTTAATATTCATTATTATAATATGGGAGTTGTGAGGCAAAACCCTTACGGCTTATTTTGAAACCATTTTTTTCATCCCCCTCCATTGAAATATCCTGAGAACGCCTCTGGTTTCACTGTATCTATCTATATACAGTTTTTCGTTATTCCATTACAACAAAATAATAGAATCAATTTTGTATAATACTTTTAGTTTTTCTATTTTTTTTTTTATATAAAACAGTCCTTGGAAACCAAAGAAACAAAAATTATAAAAATTATTATTACAGTATTTGATTTGAATTCAATCATAAATATGTATTAATAAGTAACCATTAATTGTATACAATATACCCAGTAGGAATTAGGTAATTTTTAAATTGTATTCGTTTAGATGGTGATAAACAAAGCGTTAGAAATTAAAATCCCGTTTTTAGCGGTTTTTCGTAATTTTCCAATGGTTTTTCCCGTGGAGTTAAATAATTATTAAGAAAATCGAAAAATGACCTCTCTAAAGTACCATCTTGATCCAATTTTCTTAAATAATCGAAGCACTCTTTCTGGCAGACATTTTGTTTACAGGATAAAAAAAAAAAAAATAAATAAAAATAAACATTGTAAAACCACTATAGCTTCCTGGCTCTGCTCAGAATTTAAAATTTAAAATTATAAATAGTCTATAACTTTGAAAATTAAATAATTACAAAATCAGCATTTTTTAATTTTTATAAAATTTATGAAAATATTCAATCAAAAAAATGTTTATGAAAATGTACAGACGGGCGCTAGCACAAGCCGAATGCCGATACTAACTTTTACTTCTCTAATTACTCATAAAACATAATAATTAATAATTAAAATTAGGAATATTATAATGTTGTTAAAATTAAATGAGTGTTATATATATTAACCTAAATCATAGTTTAATATATATAGGTACTATTATGCAAAGCGGGGCACTAACTAGTTAGTTTTAATTTATATTAACTGTGTAACTTATATACCTAGTTGAATTGAATGTGTAAAATAATATAATCTAACTCGTTAAAAAAATTAGTATAACTAGGTACCTAGTTATTTTTGTAGTTTTTTCCAAAAATCTAAAATATGTTCCGTAAAACTGCTGAGTGCCGTCTATTAGTACATATCGTCGGTGCACAAGAATAGTGACACAACTCAAAAATTGGCATTTTCGAGATTATTATAAAAATGCATTGCAAAATACCCATATATTTATGTGCAAGAACGACATTTTTGATGTTATTTTATAGGGACAATCTTAATTTATTACCTAATAATGAATATTGACTATTGAGTATTTTCAATTTTATAATAAAAACATTTTTCTTGTCATAATATTATTTTGTATCAATTATTTATTTAGTTATCTATTTCTTGCGTAATACACGTTAACCCCGAAGCCTATATTATAATTGACCAATAGATATACAAATTTGAAATTATACATAATATACGAATATAGTATTATACTGTTTGTATATTTCTTATTCATTTGTTATACACTCTGTGTTCTAATATTCCAGTTCCAAAAAAAGGGTTATTACTTATTAGTTATTTTAGCAAGTTGAAACATTTGATCAAATAATCAATTGCTCAATATAATTTTTCCATCGTCACCAATAATTTAAGTCAGATACCCAGACACCGAGTTATTAATTTATATAATACTTATAAACATATTAATACTAATACTAATTAACATATTTTGAACAAACTGGTTTTTAAATGTATAATTTTAAACTATAACTTAAGTTACTACATTCACCAATCTAACTTCTAAGTTTTCACAAACTAACTTATATTCTACTTAGCTAGTTGTTTTTAATTTTGTCACTTAATTTTAACTAATGGAAAAACTAGTTTTTAAAATTGAACTTCAGAAGTTGGCAAGCAAAATCTACTAATTGTACTCATTTAAATAAAGACTGTCGTAAATACGTAATAATGGTAATACTACACGGACAACTTATTGAGTGGGTGATTTTATAAAGGTTTAAAATGTAGTGCAACCTACTTGCACCCTTTGCGAAAAGGAACTGGACACGCTATGACCAAGATATATTTAATTAGATATAACTTAGGTATCTTACGCTGAAGTATTGTGTTCGATCATCATGTAGAGGACGTGATCGGAATTTATGAGCAATTCTGCGCTGGTGATCGGTGACCTTAACTCTTGTGCCATTGCTGATACTTTGCCCATCTCGTCGATCATCCATCCCATTTTATTTCTCAAACTTGACAAAAACATAATATACGTATATATTACTTGCTTATATTATTACCACGTATAAGTAAAATACATTTTTAATACCTAGTAATACAGGGTACAGTAACAGAAATACCTAACAAATGAAATACATTTTTTTCTAATCAATATTTAATCATTTTTTTGTAGCGAAATTAAAAAATTTTGATTTTTTTTGGAAAAATTCAAAACAGTTAATTTATAAATCTAATTGTTATACAAATATTGTCGCGGTAAAATGTTTATTAAGTCGCAAGTAGTTTGTTTTTAAAAATTTTTAAAATATTTCTTTCTTTTGGATGAAATTAAAATTTGAAACGTATTAGGTACCTATCAAACTTTTTCAAATTATTCTTTTTGGGAATTTCCTGACGTAACTATATTTCTTAAAATGTTTATTATCCATATTGGAAACTCCTCTAGATGACGGGAAGGTCCTGCCGATGGCAACCCCCCCCCCCACCCGTTATCCTAGTATGGTTACTGGCCGAGTGGTGGTCTGTGTACTGTGTAGGAGTCGAGTGTCGTGTACTTAGCACCTACTCAGTACTCGTGTCGTGGTCGTACATGAGAACTGTCTATAGCGTATAGATATAATATTTTGAGTTGTAAGCAGGTGTTTATCGCAGGTGTTTAATAAAAGGTTATCGAGATCAGTGGCGGTAATTTCAGGGGCCTCTGAAATTTTTCTTAAATAGAGGGGTGGGTGGTAGCCAGTGGGTGCCCTAGTAAATTTAATATGATATTCTCAATAGGTAGTCAATAACGATCTGAAATATAACTTGTTGTATTACATTAATACATTATTATGCATAAATACTTGGGATAGTATTAAATAGCCTCTGGAAAATTTTTAGTTCGCCACGCCACTGATCGAGATGATAAATGGTTGTTATTTATTTATTGTCCCTAAGTGTTAAGAGAAGTTAATAATATAATTTTCATAATTTTTGTCGTACGTTTAACTACACTAAGTACTATATAGTATACATTCTTCAGGTCTTTCCGTTACACCTGTATGACTGTATAAATTAATTAAAAAATATTCCTAGAAATAGAGGCTAACAGACCATCTTCGTGAGGCTACGACACGGTTGAGCATAAACACCTTTTTTGCGACACGATTGAGCAAATTTGTCGGCGTATCAAAGGATATAGAAATACAAAAGAAAACCTACAAGATTGAGCATAAAAAACTCTGCAACGTTTTCATTTTAAATTTTGAACTATTATATTATACAACAAATATCTATTTAAACAATTTATTATAATAATTCAAAATATGGTACAAATTAAAAATATAACATAATTTCATAGCCAATAATAGCCACATTTCATAAATCTGCTTGATAATAACAATAATAATAATAGTTATGAAAATATTAAATAATGAAATCAAAATATGGTAGCCGGTAGGTAGTACTGTAGTAGGTACGTATTTAATTGAATAGCATGATGTGGCAACGTTGCAAAAATATTATATGTTCAATCGTGTGGCTAAAAAGGTATAATTCTCAAATCTCAATCACAGGTATTATGCTCAATCGTGCCTTACAGCTTCGTGATTCGTATGCAAAGGTTTATCATTGAATTCAAATTTAACAATTCCATTAGTCACGTGCTCAATGTTGATAGGTACACTCAGATCGACTTCTCTAGGGATTTTTATATTAAATTACCTTGTTTACTTACAACTTACCATATTTATTAAAAAATATTAACTATATATTTATATTGCATAGTGAATACTTTAATAGGTACAGGTATCTGAAAAACAGCTCTTCGTAAATTAATAATTTTAACGCTCCCTAGATCTGAACTTAATTGTTCCAATAGGCTACATAACTTTAGTAATAATAAGTTATTACTTATTAATTATTAGTTATAATAATATTATTATAATAATTAGTACACAATAATATTATAAAGAATTTTAGAATGTCGTAATAAATATGGATACTTTACGTATAGGTAAAACAATGTACAAACCAATAAATTGTGTACATATTGAGTATATAATATAAAAATATAATAATATAATACAATGTATTTTACACTTACTCAACGTTGTTCTCGTATCCCATGGCCGTCAGTGTGTTGTCAATCTTCAGCACCTCACCATTGGTCAAGCTATTGAACTCCATTTCGCCGTGTATCTAAATATGGCACTCTTCCGCTTCAGCAAAGACTTTAGGAAGGTTTAACAATAATAGTAGTTGGTTAGCCGTGTATCTATTGTTTTACGTATGATAATATTGTATTTATATAATAGTTACGAATAGTATTGTATGTTTGAGCGGGCGTGTGTGGTTTTGCTTTGTAATTATGTAAGTTAATATTTAATGTGTAATGGCGTATACGACGGGAACGACTACGACGCTGGTCTCGAAAACAGGACATAGGGCCGCAGCGCTAAGCGCACAGCGTTCCTGCGGGAGACGCGCAACACGGCTGGACAGGCTGTTATATAGTGAGAAAAGAAAACAATTTGATGGCAAACGAGTGGGTTGCCTGAAAATAAGGAATTATCAGACCTCTCTTTCTATAGAACTATTCAAATCTTGAAGGATTTTACCCTATTGTCCAAATCAGGATGTTGATGACCAGATGTCTGTTATGACTCTGATAGTCTGCACTCTGCGATGTAGAGCTTAGAGGGTATGTAGTACAAGGTTCTTCATTGTGTCATCACGCTTTGGACCTTCTCCAGTCTTCAATATAGAGGGTGATTTTTGAGTCGGGGCTTTGAGACATGAGGCGTCAATAATAGAAAACTCTTGTACTTATCAGTTTTCTTAATGATTGGGAAAACAAGAATACCTTTTCAAATAATAGGTACCACCAGTTTTTAACAGAATCACATTTATATGTATTGTGACTTAAAAAGGAATCGTCGAAATTAAATATTTAAGCAGCTATAAAGACATTGGAATTTTTCAATTTTTGTTTTTTTTTGGTAAAAAAAGCTTAACAGTTTAATTCAATGAGGTTTTTCATACATTTTATAATAATCGGTAGTTAAAAATATTTAAAACACATAAAAGCTATTTAAAATATTATGTTATTAATAAGTTCAAATGTTGACGAAATTGGATATTAAATGAAAAATAACGATTTTAGTTACCTATATTTTGCTGTAGTCTGTACCTACCTAGCTAATTCGAAAATCGTTAATTGTGGAGACTCAAAATTGTTTGTCATTACTACACAATTCAATTTTAGTATTTAGATTTTAGGTAATATAATATTATAATATACATATGCTATTAATTTCATATTATAGTGATTCACTTATCTCTTCTCCTTCACTCATCAGAACTATTTTTTCATTCATCATAGAATTTAAATTTATCAAATATATCACAGTAATAAAATATTTATCGAATATTCTAATACTATTTTTGACTGTGACCTATGCCTTTAAGTATTTGATATTCAGAATATTCTAATAATTTTCATTAGTACCTATAATTTATATATTTGAAACATTTTTTAAATAAAAAAAATATAATATTTATTCATATCCAGGATTTACTTTTTACTTGTCAGTTGTCCTTGAATTTCGTAGTTGGTCAACCAATCTTCTCTGGTCGAGGTAAGCGTATGCTTACCATTGGATCATCCGATCATCTATATAGAATACCTACACGGCTATACCTAACGATGGCTGATGAGTGATGGGTTTATAGACAACATTTGCGCGTCGCATGTCTACACGACCAACCACAATAATTATGAATACATTTGCTTAAAAATTATTTTTTTAAATGCGACCGAAGTAAATACTTTTGATGTTTAAACAGTTATACAAATACCTAATACGAACCACGGACGTTAAAAGTTCAAAGCGGGCTACTAAATTTGGTAGGTACCTATTTATGGTACCTATGAAATATGCATGTTGAGACTTATATTATATAATTTTTATTGGAAATTCATTATACTTTTATGACTGATTATTGACATATATTAAATATATAGATTAAAAACTACATTTTGAGGCCTTGAGGGGAACATTATTGAGGGTTTGACATTAAAATGTCAGTTTCAAACTTTAACATACCTAGGCACCTAGGTTAGGTTTAGGTTAGGTACCTATTTAACAGAAATATTTTTATAATACACTAATTGTATGTTCTACTTCTAACCTGGCCTTGATTTCAACAAATATGATCCCTATATAGATCCCTGCTATGTCCCAAGCGATAAAAAAGACGCAAGAGTGACACCTCAAAAAGCCACCCGACATAAGGCCACGTCCTAACCCGCACAGCATAAAGAAAAATATGTGTATGTATAAACCAAAAGCAGGGAAAAAAGATTATCAATCATCGTAAATAAGATAAGATATAAACTGCAAAAAAATGTGTAGAATGCGAAAACGTAACTGCGAAATAATATATAATAACGTACAATAATGCAGAGTAAATGTTGTACTGGATACCTATTTAAAAAAAAAAAAAAAAAATATTACACTTCACTTTAAAAATTTGAAACATATATATGTAGTAGCTAACAACTTTATAGTTCTAATGTAAGCGATAGTAAAATATTTGGATTTTTATTACAGGAGATACACGTGTTCCCGCTTAGGTGACCGGTATTCCCCCATTCTCCACTACGTAATATGCAAAAACATGCTTTTTTATGGAAAATATGAAATCGAACCCATAATATGCAATATTATTTATTTGAGTATGATCGATGAAAATCCATTTACTGCATGTAGTTGCTTATAAAAATATGAACATTCATTACATGCGAAATCCGGTTTCATAAGTTCTATTGCTGTCTCTCCTTAAGGGACGTTACAGTGGTATTTGTTGTCTCCGTCTTAGAAGTGAGTAAAAGCAAATTTTACGCTCAGCAGAACACGTTTATCTCCTTTAGTTTAAAAATTAGAGAAAATCTCCCTCTTAGCCAATTTTAAGGTAAGATTATTATCTAGACAATGACGTAGGCTTCTTGTTATATTTTAATTTTAAAGCGAGTTATGAGTATTTTAAGATGTTCAAACAGTTTACAAGTTTAAAATACACATAACTCGCTTTAAAATTAAAAGATAATAAAAAGCCTACGTCATTGTCTAGATAATAGTCTTACCTTTAAATTTTATAAGAGCTCAATTCGCTCTAATTTTTAAATTAACGGAGATAAATGTGTTCTTCTGAGCGTAAAAGTTGCTATGTTATACGCACTTGTCTGACGGAGACAACAAATATCACTGTCCCCTTAACTGAGTAACTCGGTAGTATGGGATTATATTTATAAAGGCGTCATGTTTATTGGATTTCAGTGGCCCAATCAGAATTTTCATATTTTACATCGTTTGATCACTATGTGGCCTAACTCTGAGAAATGTACTTATAAGTTATAGTGTAAGTTTTGTTATACATTTATCATAATGCGAACTACTACAAAATCTTTATTACGTACCTAGTTAATAATGTATATATATTATATTATTCTAAATGTGTAGGTAGGTATATTTAAAAAGTTATTTTATTCAGCCCAAAGGGACCCGGAGACCCTCCTGGTTGCGCCACTGTTAGATTCATTTTAAAATAACTGTTTTTTTCCAGTAAATATACGTGATTACTATTTTACAATTTCTCTAGTTGTCTCAGTTGTCAGTTTGTTAATGAGGTACGAGGTACCTATGAAAGTACTTATTAGATTTATAAGAATAAATTGCTAACCTCTTACAAAATAATAACTTTAGCCAATATAAAAATGTACACTTAAAAAAAAATTCTAAATTCTAATATAAATATACCTACACATACGTCATACAAGTATACAACTATAGAATTTACTTGGTATGATATTATTAATTGTATGCTCTACATTTTGAATTTAGCACTTACAAATTTGTTCATGTTAATTTACATTTTAAGCTAATTTCCATAACATAAAATAACATTTAAAAAATAGAAGGGCTTTAGCACTCCCAGATTTTATAATAACTTTCAAAATAAACAAAATTTTTTGTACATTTAAATTATTTTAAAATTGTTTTGAGACAATATTTAGACAAATCGATATGTCATTCCCTCAAAAATATAATTCTCTATCTTTTTTGTAATGGGTGATTTTACTCTAAGATCCTCTTGACATAAAATAAACCTTGTGTTTTTAAACAATTTTTTTCCCATCTATTTTATAAGCTAGTAAACTGCTTGTTGCAGAATTGTTCATTGTCCTTTGTAATTCTACCAACTGGTTTCAAATATATGTTATGTCCTTACAATGATTTAGATCATATTTATTTTTCATAATTTTGAAAATGCTTATTATTAAAACAATGAGAATTTAAAAAAAAAAACTTTGAATAGGTTATATATTTTTTATTAGCATTTAAATTGAGTTTGAGTTTGGCTTAATATTTAATATTATTACTGTGCAACAACAGTGCATAGACTATGTAGCTATCAGAAATGTGAATGATTTAGCAATCACTACTTTATTATTTGACATCACTGATATATCAAGTAATGTATATGGTTGAACCTAACCTAATACAACAACAGAAAGTTCACTTCGCATCATATTCATAATCTGTCAAAATAACAACTAATTAAAAATCCCCCTCCCCTCATTACATAATCAAAGTTATATTCATTTAAGAACAAAAACTCAAGTAAGAGAAAATGTATTAATTGTACAATGATGGCTCCTAATTTTTACCTTAAAAAACATCTGTACTTTAAAAACAAATTGAAAAAAGGTGGGCAAGTGGATTTCACTCTGCTGTACAGTAGGTTACAAGTGGGTCACTGTACAATGGATGGTATTACATTTGAATTTAATGATATAATACCATGGTATAAGAAAAACGATTCTGAGCGGAGACGGTTTGTCAGTCTAGGTATAAGATACATTATATACTCATCTATGGCAGGGGTCTCCAAACTACGGCCCGCGAACAAGTTTTAACCGGCCCTTGGTCCGCATAGGATAATATAGATAAAAAAAATATTTCAAAAATGTATTTTTATACCTATTTATTTTTATTTAAGTATATTGTAAAGTAAACAATATTTTATACAAAAATATAAAGTAAACATATTATTTATATAGGTACCCTATATTACATAAAATTAAAAATGATATGTGTTAATAAACTTTTGGCTCGCTAAGAACATTTGATTTTTTTTGTGGCCCTTGAATAAAAAAGTTTGGAGACCCCTGATCTATGGTATTAAAAAAAATGACCTATAATAAATTCCAAATCAATCATATCACAATATCCATTAGGTAATACAAACAATATTCACTTTCCCATCGAACAAGATACTGAAGTTGAAAATCAAACCATTATTTCGACTACTTATCGTGTACACAGACACAAAAATAAAAAAACACACATTGTAAAATCAATACATTCATCGTTCCACTCAGAATCTAAAATAGTCATATTATACATATAATAAGTTGTACAAATTGTACTCTAAAGATTATAGTGTATCCTTACAACTTTATATATTTAATTAGTTTAGTTACTTTTAACAAAATTTACCTTTAACAAAAAAAAAAAACAATTAATGGGTATTAAATACATTTAATCATAAAAATTAAAAATTATACAATCATAGCATTAAAATATTACTAATAAAAATAACAAATCAGCTCAATCAACACTTTTGATGAAAAGTGAAAGTAAAACAAAAATATAAGTATTTCTTACAATTCTAATTCATTTCAAAGAAATATTCTTAAGTCTGTTTAAAAATTGTTTGCCAATTTAAATAATGATCAATGAGTATATACAACACAACAAAATAACATAATGTTTATATTGTGTTCCTTTACAAATGTTTATAATTTATATACATATACATTTGATGTTTTGAACCCAATTGGAAACATAAATAAAATAAAAATAACTTAATATTTACCATAAGAAAAATATACATATACTAATATGTATAACATAAATATATTTTATCATATAGAATTTAACTCTTTAATAAGATTGACAATTTCGGTTGCTGTTGTGTAACGTTTAGAAAGTTTATGTTCTAAAGATTGATTGATGTAAACCGAAGCTCTGAACATTTTGTCCAGTACAATACATTTGTTTGCAATGGGGACGCCATACGTGCTAATTGACATATGCGAAATTACATATCTTGATGGATTGGTGACAATGCTCAAGCTCCATGATGGCATTGTTTTTGAAAGTTCAATCATCAAGTCTTTTAAGTTATTTTTTTCATAGGCCGCACTCTCTCTGATAGGTTCCAACTTGTACTCTAAATTTACGTTTAATCCTGACTTTGCATTTACATCTATGGGTGATATTTCTACCATAGATGGTGTCACTGATTTGCAGTACTTTTTTTGGAATACAGAAAGGGGTTCATCTACAACTGTTTTCTTGAGAAAGTCACTTGGGATGTCAAAACGTTTAGAAAGGAGATTAAGTGCATGGTCTATACGTGATTCTATTTCATTTTTAACAGACTGCAACCCCAATTTTGCAGTGCACTTAGGTATTTTTCTTGACACTTTCTTAACAACTCTTTGAGGTGATACCTTAGCACTAGGCACTTGTGATTGTGATGTATTGTCTTCTTTCTTGGGGCTTTCTTGGGACTCGATAATATCCAGTTCACGTGAATTTTTTTTTTGTTCATTGGCCAATTCTCTACATTGCCGGCTGATGGCTTCAGATAGTATAGCCATGCCATAACTCATTTCAGGATTTTCGATGCCTATCGTTGAAACTGATAAATAATCAGAATCAGATATTGGTTCTAGTGTACTTAAATGAGACTGTTGATCATTGTTAGTGGAAAATGTACTCTCAGTACCTGTTGTATGCATTATAGAGATGTTAGATGAGGTTCCACTAGATGGTACATTGCAAATACCAACAGGTTCAGACAAGGCATTATTGAAGACAACTGGTATAGGTTCTTCAAGAGGAATATTGTACGTAATTGATATACTATCATTTTGCACCACAGGAACACTATTTGATATACTATCATTTTGTACCTCAGGAACATTTATTGATATACAATCATTTTGCACCACAGGAACATTTATTGATGACTTTTCCGTATTATCATAAGCCGGAATTGGGGTATGGAAAACAAATGGATTGTTTGGGCTAAGTTCTTCTAACATCTTTGTATTCACTTTTTTACAGTTGGCGTTTTTTGATTTTTGAGTTTTCACAATTTTTTTTTTACTATTAACATCAAGTATTGATTCGCTAGAAAAATCTTCATTTTTGGATTTTGATATATTTGTTGACAATTTGTCCACAATCCACTCATCACTCCATTTCTTTTTAATTTTTGGCGGTTTATTATTACTTCTGAGCATCATGGCAGTATCATCGAAGTGTTGAGTTAACTTTGTCAAAGGACAGTCCTCGTCACTGTGCAGTGTCTTACAAATTTTGCCTAAATTCTGAGTAAGACGTAAGCTGTCTTCAGTATTAAATATATTAGCACAGAAATCAGGATTTAAACATTTTTCTTTTTTTAATGAAGTACGATAACGTTTTGTAGGAATTTCACTTGTATTACTTGTTTCATGTTCATTAGTTATGTCACTTTTGTTTATGTTATTTACTGCGGGCTTTTTTCTATTGGAACTAGATCTAGATGTTTTACTCTTAGGAATATGTGGTACAGCAAAGTTATCATTTATTTCAAGTTCATGATTTGTTTCAACATTGTTCAATTTTTTTTTATTAGAAGTAATAGATTTAGGTGTTTTATTTTTAGGAGTTTTTATTGATATAACACCATTACTTTCTTCAAGTTCAGAAGATGTGTTATTTTTGCTAACATTATTCGGCTCAGGCTTTTTCCTATTTAATGTAATAGATTTAGGTGTTTTAGTTTTAGTAGATTTTAATGGTGCTACAAAGTTATCAGCTTTTACAGTTTCGTTAGATGGATTACCTTTATCTACATCATGCACTATAGGTTTTTTTCTAACAGCAATAATAGATTTGGATATTTTGAATTTAATAGGTTTCGGTTTTATTGGCCGCTGTTTAGAAATTGTTTCTTTATTATTTATAAAATTTTTTGGACAAAGTGTAGAACCAGATTTTACACTAAGATCATCATTAATTAAATAGCTATCTGTAGACTTTATAGAAGAATCTTGGATTTTGGTGTTTTCAATTTCTTTTTGAGGAGCATCAGTTTTTCCTTGTTCTATTTTACTCAATTTGGGTTTTTTGATTATGCAATTTCTTTTTTTTACATTATCTGATTGATTGCCATTTTCTGTAACAGCTTTAGTACGTTTTCTAGATATCCTCACGGATCTTTTTACTTCAGCATTACCTTGTTTATCCGCCACCGAAACAATATCTTCACTACTAGATATTGGCAGGACATCACAACGCAGCAGTTTTACAGCACAATTTAAATTCATGTTGTCAATCCACTTGGTAGTCATCGAGGATTTTAATCAATAATAACTAAATAAAAAATTATACAATTAATCAAAATATATTTATGGGCACAATAACAGTATAATATACATACTTAAAGTTCAAAGTAAAATTCACAACCATTGGTTTTAATCTTAAACAATCTGTAATCGATCCATACCTAAAGAAAAATTTCATAAATGTAATAAATGTAATGTATAACAAAAATATTAAGTATATACTCTATTCCAAATAAGATCAGGCTTCGGCAGCCGAGTGTGAATGCGCACAGCATGGGAGTGGCTTTGTTCTCGTAGCAGCGCCTGTTGGTAATGGGAAGGAAAACTGATCACCTCCGAAGCCTGATCTTATTTGTAATAAAGTATAGGTAGCCATTGAAGTGTTTATTTTTAATTTTCAAGTGAATTAATTCAAATAACATTACTTAAACATCACTATTTTATCTAATGGAAATAATTATAGGTAGAAACAATAATAGGTACCTGTTATGCCTTCAATAAAAAAAAATGTATAATTATTTATTACCATTGATTATTTTAAATGTATATTTATTAGTCTATAACCTACTAAAATTAAAAATCAATAAAAATTGCAGTCTCATATTTTATTTTATTATAATGATTTTTCAGTCAACAATTTGAACTATTATACCTCAGCGGTTCTCAAATTGAGATCTGTAGAGCCCATAGACATGTTTGAATTAAATTTAAATTAAATAATATTTGGTTTATCATTTTTATTTTAAATAATCCTCATATTTTATTTCGTAGTCATATGTCAGTTGGTTGAATGTTATATTGCTTTTATCATTTATAATTATATTATAAAGGAACAAATTAATAAGAAAATCATTTATACATCATTTTTCATGAGTATGTATATTTTATGAGCATTCCTAAATTGTGGGATTCCGTAGAACTTTCTTAGCAACGTAAGGGCACCAAAAACAAAAAAGTTTTAGAACTACTGTAATATAGCTAAACAGTAAATTTATTGAACCATAATATACATATAATATTATACTAAAATGAGATAGAAATACATAGAATTCTGATTATTAATTTTTGCTGAGTGCTGTGTGCAGTCTTGGATCTCAAATTAATAAAACTGATATTTTTTCTTTAATAAATCAGTTGATATATTTAAGAACTTTAGATATTGATGGTTTTAAATGATAAAACTCATGGGGTGCCATCAATGGACGACTTCCTTTTCATGTCAATAAACCCCCATCTAATTTACAAATTGTATAACACGTAAATACAGTTGTAGATATAACATTAGGTTCAATAAAAAAAAAATATATTAAAACTATAATAGATATGTATATTAAATACCTATAAATATTTACCAACATAGTACGGAACAAAAATATTTGAAATCAATTAACTTAATAGATGTTATTTTTTGTACTAACTGACCCAATACTATTATTGTATCGATGATACAATATGGTGGAAACAACATTTATCAACTAAATGACAAACATGATTTTTCTTTATTATGTCATCCTCAATCTTAATAAGAATAATCGAGAACTCAAAATAAATGCTCAATATTAAAACATAAACAAATACAACAATATTTCCGTCTCAAATACTGCTAGTATTTGGGTAAAAAGATGTCTTGCAACAAAATAAATTCAAATTCTACAAAATCAAGCATTAAAAAATAATATCAAATGCTCCCTGGTTCATAATATAGACTTCCAGGTTAAAAAACTAAATTTTAGTATAAAACAATGTTCATAGTTTGCTACTTCGTCCAACAGGTTTTTATACACAAAAGTACAATACCTCCAATGACGCTCAAAATGTGGTCCTTTGCACATGTGTTATGGACATGTATGTATTTTCCAAAAACACTAAAATCAAATTGTTGTGATAATCCTGTCAAATAAATTGCATAATGCGTAGATAAAAAAAACTATTTTAAAACACAATAATTAGTCACTTTTACAAGTTGCAAGGTATATTTTGAGTTTAAGCAAATGCATACAGAAGTCTAATTGAAAATCATAAAAAGATCAAAGAAATTAATGAAGCAATAAATAATGAGTCAATTCATTAAAAAAAAAACAAAACATATCACCTTTCTGCCTTAACAATAGTAAGTATGCAAACAAATAACAATGTTATTTTAACATATAATAAAAGTTAGAAAGTCAGAACTTTCGAAGTGTGTAACTTGAAGGTCCGAATCACTTATTACAATGAACTATGACTTTATCTGCCTCTCAAAACTGTCCGTGATTTATACATCTGGCCAAGATAATTTATATACAAGACAAGTGGCGAACAGAAGACAGTGGACATCATAATATTGTAATATTGTAGGTGTACAAACGACGAAAACAACGATTACCGTATTGAGCACTCGAAGGTGTACTTACGTAAAATTTGAAAAGTTTAAACAGCGATTGCTTAGCGGTTGGCTAAAACCTGGGCGGCTGGAGCTACAAATTCCATTAACATATATCGTAGACTATTCACGAAAAGGTACGTAGGTAGCTGCTGCATGGTCGTCGCGTGTGCAAAAATAATAATATTTAGAACGTTGTGGACCGCGATTTGTATATTGTGTTATTGTGTATAAATATAATATTATATTATTATTTAACATTTATACGTGAATGATGATAAACAGTGATTTCGGATGGGTTGATAATAGGCGCGCACGCGCAAAACCAGGTAACCGGTAACGCGGGAAAAAAACTGACTGGCCAAGAGCCCGAGACGGATCGCCAAGGCGGCGTGAGCGCCAATAACAGAGCGCACCACGTAAGTCAGTGGAACCATGATATTTGACAAATTCGATGAATTGAGGCACTTCTCCAATAGTTGTCAAACAACTAATAATTAGTAATAACTATTAAATAATTATAATATTAATGTTTATTAGCATAAGTAATTGGTAAATACTAAAGGGTTCACCTAGTCACGTTGAATGTTGATTATCATAGTTCATAAATATTATAAATAAATAAGTACGTAATTAGTAAATCGCAATCACATTATCTTCAGTAGTATTAAAACCGCGCGTAACGAGACTAGGTTTTTATTTTCATTATCGTGCATGATATTAATTTCCTGTTGTTTTATTCGATAAAATACCTACGACCTACCTACTAGAATAATATAATATGTATTGATGTAGGTATAAATAGATATTTTGGTTTTTAATTTTTTATTCGGAAATTATATAAGAAAAAAGGTATAAATAACTGCATGTTTGTAAAAATGTAAGACAATGAAGAACTAAAAACCATTGATTTTATTATAATATATACATCTGCAGACGAGGACAGGATACTACATTAATAAAAATATTATAAAACAATGACTTATCAAAGCATTCAAAGGCCCACTATTCGTGTTTGTAACTTCAATGAATATTATTATTTATTGTAAGTTATTTATAGCCTAGGTATATCATGAATTTTAATTTATTTCCGCTACATGTGGGTACTCAACTATTTTCACAAAGCTTGCCCTCCATACAATAGGTATATGATATACCTGTAAAAGTATATATTGCTCAATTTACAATATTCTATGAATTTATTTAAAATTAGTTAATGCGATAGAATTGCATAATGACAAATATTGATGATAATATAAGTACTTATAGAACGTAAAATAACTATAAATAAGTAGGGACCATAATGTATTTATAAACAAAATATTAATTATGAATTATGTTTACTTATACCTAATATTATTACTACGATTCAAGCATACTGCAGACAACGGTTATATAATTAGGTAAAAACTATAAGTATTAAAATAAATATTTTATAAATTTAAAATCAATTACCAAAATAACATAATAAATTTTTTATATATATAGGTATTATCTAATATCTATTACCTATCTAATTTGTTGGATGATGATGATAAATATTAGACGTAAAACACAATTTGAAGTTCAGAATAATTTGTTATTATAAAATGTTTAGTATACCTTGTACCCCTAACCTCTATATGTATAATATAATAATTAATATAAATCTGGTTACACTTTTAATAAATATTTTATAATGTTTTGATAATTGACTTTATTTATAATGCCTATAATTATATTGAGATAGGTACCTATTTTGTGTGCCATGAATTAAATCAATTGATTAGACAATTGTCAATTATGCAATAAAATATACTCATCATAACTAAAATAATTAGTTTCTTTAAAGTATACCATAAACGATAATAATGAAAACGACTGAATTAACTCGTACGGATCTTAATAAATAAAAATAAAATACTAATTTATAGCTATGGAGCCGCTGTGGAGGTAATAATTTATCATACCTAATGCATAGGTAACCTTATAGATCCACATGATTCGACGGTTCTTGTTTATTATTTTATATCATTGTATCATAGATTAAACATTTAATCTATAATTGTATCATACACAATAATATCACTAGAAATTAGCATACTCGAGTACTGAAGTTATACTTACATTAAAATATTCAGCAGTTACAACCACTATATAGTTACAATATTGTCAACTGCACAACAACTCACTACCGACTTCCGAGTTCCGAGTGTTCGACACAAGACGTACACAACAACAATAACGTGTAACGAGTAACGACTATATTATAAAACGATAATACTAGTAAACTACATTAGTACATTATGAGTTACAAGAATAGTAATGATAACGAGACGCGAGAGGGCGCGTGGTTGTGAGTACTATAATATATTTTCTATACTTGTTTAAAATGTGTAATACTGCATCTCGACGCGTCACACTGTCACGGTGTGCGCGTGCCGTCGCGGTGCCAACAACATTATGGTACCCTGTTATAGCGGTATCAAACTTAACCCTCGGCGCTCGGTTTAATCCGCGGTTTAGTACTTTGGAAACTACTCCGTCGACCGTCAGACTAGTCATAATCTTGCGGGCCGGCAGTACGTGTCGGGATTATCATGGGCGGGCTCGATTGCCACTTGATGCAGCTAGCATTGCGCCGGGCCGACGGTGATGGACCAGG